GTACAAAATAATTAATTTACCTTATTTAAGTTTTTTGATTTTTTTTTTTGGGGGAAAACATAAATCATAATGCATAATTCAAGGTAGAAATTTCCTTACTAAGAGTCATGTCATCAATCCACAACCAATTGATTCCAAAAGAATTAAGTTAAAAATAGATTATATTCAATATAGGTAGATCTTTTTCAAATGCCCAAAATAGTATTCTCTCCGTTTTTAAATATTTGCTCCGCTTTTCTTTTTCATCCGTTTTTAAATACTTGCTCCATTTCCTTATTTTGAAAGCTTTTACAATATTTAATTCACTTATCTCAACTAATTGTTCCAACATAAATAATATTTTATTAATTTCAAATTTTCTCACCAATTCTCTTAACTACTTTTGCTTTTTATAATTTTTTTTACTCTTCCACCAATCCCTCTATCTCCGTATTTTATTACTTTATCCAATTTCTTCTAAAACTCCACGCAAGGAGAAATAGAGCAAGTATCCAAAAACGGAGGGAATATATGAAACTAACATTATGAAATGGAGAGAATAAATAAAAAGAGAAAAAATGAAAAGTTGCAACTAATATATAACACCCTTAAATGACAAAAGTTGCAACTAATATGTACACCCTCCGTTTCATAATGTTAGTCTCATATACTATTTTTGGCGTTTAAAAAAAATCTACCCATTTTGAATATATTTCATTTACAACTTGATTTTTTTTTGAATTAATTGGTTGTAGATTGATGGTATGACTTTAAGTAAGGAAATCTTTACCTTAAATTATGCAATTATGACTCGAGCTTTCCAAATAAAAAATCAAAAAAGTTAAATAAGGTAAATTAATTATGAATTAGGAAAATTTGTTCAAAAGGACCACCTAAGTGGTCTCTTTTGTTTAGAAGGATCTAATAAGAAAATGTTGTTTAAAAGGACCACATAAGACAATTTGGGCTGTCAAGTAGGACCAAATCCAATTTTCAAGGAAGTCAATTCCGAAATCCGGCGTTGACTGTCACTTGCCAGGCACGTGACTCATTAAGTTGACCCAAAATATTTTTTTTTTCTCTTTTTTCCCCTCTTTCCCACGATTTCCCCCAATTTCCCCCTTTCTTTTCCTTTCTCTCTCCTCTAAGAAGACAAGTTACTTTAATTCATCATTTTCGTACTACTAAAACACCCAGTATTTGTCAACTTGCTGTTTTACTTCGTATGAAGATTAGTGGGCATTGGGCTAAGCTTAATCTTCATCTTCGTCAACTTTGTAAGCAATCTCTTATTGATAGTATTACTATGGAGCACATGTTTTCTTTCTCCCTGCTTCCGATTCTCTTCTTGCATTGTGATGGAAAAATATCTGATTTTTTTGAAGAATTGAGATGATTTGAAGTGAGGTGTGTAACAGGGGCGGAGCTACATTGGTGCACACTGGTGCACGTGCACCAGCAGTCCCCCCAAAAAAATAAAGTTTAATTTTTTTTAAAGAAATCTATCAAAGAGACCAGTTATTATAAATATTGCAGACTTCACTCACCCACTCCCGCTTTATTCTTGGTGCTTTATTTTTGTAGTGAAAAGAGATCGGTGGTTTAATAGCTTGTCCCTAAGCCTCTAAGGTCATTTTTTTGTTATTCTTTATAATAATGGGTCAAACAAACCTGTTATTAAAAAACAGGTCTCTATGGTTGATGTGTCTATTTTATATAGTTATTTACCCCCGTCCCTTGGTCGTAATTAGTAGTGTTTTTGGCTCTTTAGAGCCACTTTTATTACTAATTGGTGTTTTCTAGTGTTTTCGTAGATTTGGTTGACTTTTGCAGGGATTTATGCTTTTGGAGTATTTTCCCGAGATATTTTGGAGCAATCACGAGCATTGGAGAAGCACGACCAGAGTTTATAGCCCAGGACCGGTTAGAGCCATCGAACCGGTGATTAAGGGCTCGGTATAGGTGATACCGAGGCATTTGGACCGAGTATTCAAGACCCACAGAGGAAACCCAGATTGGCCCGAAGAATTGGAGCCCGGTCGAAGTCCAAATAGTTGCCCAAATGAGTCGCCCGGCCAAAGAGGCTGGCGCCCGGAGGCGCGCCCGGCCGGGCGGGATAAGCTTAGTCTGGCGCCCAGTGACGCACCCGGCCGGGCGCGAGATCAGTATTATGAGCAAAAAGGCGCGCCCGATTGGGCGCGTGTGTTTATTAGTTGACGATTAGCGTCGTTTTAATTTGTTTTAGTTTAGGATTTTGTACGGAGTATAAATACTCCTCCGTAATACGATTTTAGGATCTCTTCTTCTTCACTTTTCACTTTTCTTTACTCTCTTAATTATTCTCTTAGATTTCTTCTCTCTTAAACCTTTGTTCTTAATTCTTCCCTTAATTCCAGATTTATTTTGGTAACGATTCTTCTTCCCTTAATCTTAGTTGTTTATTTTATTCCTTTCATCATGATTTATTTTATTACTTTGATTAGTTTAGTTTTTAATATGTGTGAGTAGTTTAATTTCTAGGGTTTATGGGGATCTAATAAATAACATGAAGGGGTAAATTATTGTTGTTGATTATCAATGCTAGATTAATTTCCTATTGATTGATTTAATGCTCTGTGACTAGATTGGGCCTATCTTTTATGCATGAGTTTGACAATATTGATTCAAGATTCGATAGATGAGAATTGATGTTTAGGTCTAGTTTCAATAGGCAGGTTAATTTATAAATGGTTAAGTTGAGATTCGAAAGATGAGATTTAATACCGGTAAATTAATTATGTGATTGTAATACGTAGCGAAAGCCCTTTACAATCTGGTTAATTGATGCATTGATGATTGACTATTATTGATTATTGGTATTGCATGATAATTTCTTATTGGATTGTTTTAATGTTTTACAATTGCGGCTTGTAAAAGTATAGCAATATTAAATTGATGAATCGAGCAGATGTTAATTTGGTATTAAAGGTTATTTTCAATAAGAACTTCGATCTAGTAAATTGCGAGAGCCTGTTAGATCTATGTTGATTAATAAATTGCGAGAGCCTATTAATCATGTTATTTATGCAATGTCAATGATTGATTACTATGTTTTACCCTAGAGTATTATTTATTGGTGAACCTATGCCCTAGATCCTTTTATATATTGTTTTCTCCCTACTTCTATTCCTTGTAGTTTAGTTTCATACTTAATTATAAATATTGGTTACTTAGATAATTTAGATTATAATAATAAATTAGGAGTAAAAAGACTTGTTTCCCTGTGAAGATCGACCCTACTTCCCTATCTATTTTAGTTAGAGGACTTAGGAATTATTTTTGATTAGGGGATACGACTTTACCCTACCAATGGTCATTGTATTTTTTTTTTCCAGAGGTTTTTCAGTGCGGCAAGCCACATGGTGCGGCACGGTTACTTGTATTAGGGTTACTTGTATTTTGGGTTGTATGGGTTACTTGTATTATGAGGTTACTTGTATGAGTTACTTCTATTGTGGGGTTACTTGTATTCTGAGTAACTCCATACCAAAATTCCATACCAAACCAGTAATACCCTACAAGTATCCCCCGATCAAAACCAATAACAACCATACAAGTAACCCTAAAATACAAGTAACACCTGACAAAACCAGTAACATCCTACAAGGCTACAAGTAACCCCGATCAAAACCAGTAACACCCATACAATTAACCCCAGAATACCAGTAACACCTACCAGTAACCCCTGACAAAACCAGTAACACCCTATAAGTAACCCCGACCAAAATCAGTAATACTCATACAAGTAACCCCAGAATACAAGTAACACCTACAAGTAACCCCTGACAAAACCAGTAACACCCTATAAGTAACCCCGACCAAAACCAGTAACACCCATACAAGTAACCCCCAGAATACAAGTAACACATATAAGTAACCCCTGACAAAACCAGTAACCCTTGCCACACCATGTGGCTAGCCACATACAAAAAAATTGTATATTTTTTTTGGTTACTATTAAAATAATGGATTGGCTCCATTGGAATAGATGTTATTTGTAGTAACTTTAGCTTGTAGGATGAATTTTTTAAGTACTATTTAATTGTAGTATAGATTTTTGTGCTTTTTTTGGATTGAAATCAATTTGTTGTAATATATATATATATTTTAATATAATTTTGGATTGAATACAATGATGAACTAGACCCAAAATTTTTTGTACTATCATATGTAATTAATAAATGATTGTGATTCACCAACTCGAAAATCCTAGATCCGCCACTGGTGTGTAATGGAGGAATTATGTCGATAATGGGTGATTGAGTAATACGTTTAATAATGGGCTATTGAGGAATTAGTTTGATAATTGGTAATTTTGGAATTGGTTTGATAATGGGTAATTGAGGAATTAGCTTGATGATGAGTAATTGTGGAGCTAGTTTGATGATGGGTAACTGAGAACTAATTTGATAATGGTTAATTATAAATTACTTGTTGTTGTTAGGTTTTTGATTTTATATAATGAGTTATGTAATCAATGAAATTTGATAAGAATGTTATAGTGTGTAATGAGTATGTAATGATGAAAGTGAGGGATAGCTCAAGTGATTAGAGTTTCCCTCCTGATTCCAGGATGTCCTGGGATCAATTCTCATCCTCGCCCTTGGGGCTCTCTAAATACCAAAAAAAAAAAAAAAAAAAAAAAAGTAACGAGTATGTAGTGATAATGGGATAAATTGGGGGAAAATTCCTAAATTTGGGTCAATTTAATGAATCCGGCATTGACTTCCCTGAAAATTGAATTTGGTCCCTTTTGCCAACCCAAATCGTCTTATATGTCACTTTTTCATATACTTGGGCACTAGACTACATTGAAATTATAACTTTTCTGCCAAACTCCATTGGTATTTTGGAACGACCCTTCACGGGCAAATGAATAATGATAACACAAACAAACATTAACTTTGGTCTAAGGTCAGACATCGATCTCTTCTTCTCCATTAACAGAAGACATAATAGTATTTTCTTGCTCCACAAATTCACAAACCAAATGAAATCAAGTTCAAATTTGCATTACTAATTGCTGCATAAGTTCAAACTTTCTGGTAAACCACACATTGGTACATTACCATATTTAGGCTACGTTCAAATTTGCAAACCACACATTACTATAAGTTCAAACTTTCTTCTAAACCACACATTTACCATATTTAGGCTACATTCAAATAGTCTTGCAAACCACACATTACTATAAGTTTACTACATGGTCTTCAAGTGGCACATATGATGCCCTTTCATGTACAATTCATCCAACCCCCTTCCTCACCAAAATTCAGTTATTGGATAAGAAATCAATCCAGGGGTAGTTTGTAACCATCTTGGAAAGTTTTCGGATGACAAATCACTCCCATGGGGCACATCTTGCAGCGATTCTTGTAGTCCGCATCTATAAAACATCAAAGATAAATTAGACAAACAGATTTTAAATAGCTGTGTGTAAGAGAGAGATGCTCATAATAAGAGGACTTTCATTATTCTTGCCAAAAAACAGTGAACCATCAACCATCTAAAACACACACCCAGGCAAATAATATTGCTAATTATGCATGCATTAGGGCTTGCTGCCGACCAACACCTACATATCATTTACCATTGAATCCCTAGTTTCACACAGTAATTCAAAACCACAACAATTAGGGCGTCATTAAATGTTTGCACAATTAAATCATCGAGACACTTGTTAAAAAAAAAAAAAAAAACACTCTCTTTGAAACCTATACTAGAAATAAAAGACAAAACATAATCCTTTTTTTTTTTTTATTTACGGGTGACTTTAAGCAAGGGATTCTAGGATTCCTATCCCCATAAAAACACGGATGCAACAATTTCTCATTATGAATCAGGCTTTTAGAGCTTGAGGCATGTATATCTTATCCCTTTATCACTTTCCTCTCCCCTTCCTCAGTTCAGCCCGGAAAAACATGTCATTTTATTTTTATTATTTTATTTTTAAAAAAAATGGGAATCAGAGAATTCTATTAAGCAAAAGCTGAAGAATTAGACAATACAAAACAAAGGGAGGAACTTCCACAATCCACACCCTTAACTCCCAAAACGTTTACTAAGGTGAGCAAGGCAAAAGCATGTCCATGTTGAACATAAGCAACCATTAGATAACTGGAATTCAAGATCTAGATTATGGTGATGGGGAGCTAGTTCATTCCATAGCAGTGTTGGCAAGGCATTAGAGGATCTAGAAGTCCAAGAGATTCCAAATATATTATAAATGTTCAAGTTCAAATGAGAAGATTTGTATTACTCAAATAGCCCCAAATACTAAAAACAAATACCAAATAAGCAGGCAGCAATGACATACAAACTTCTTAACCCTCTTTCTTTTGGACTATATTATGCAGCCTGTTACAGTTGCATGTTGCATTTTACTTCTTGCACTACTATATAGGGAGCCAACCACATTAGGGCTTAGGCCATCAAGGAGGAGGTCATAAACAAAGATGAAATTACTTCAATTTAGTAATGATACAAAACTAGCTCAACTACATTTTCATTTCAGATTAATTAGAGACTCACAGTAGATAATAAAACAGAAGGTAATAACAGCACACAGATGAATCAAGAACAGAATAATCATGGAAACGTAAGAGGGAGAAAGCATTTTAAGGGACATATAACATGCTTAAGGGACAAAGAGGAGGAATGCATTTTAAACAAGATGTAAGTTTGAGCTATGATGGGAAGTAAAGCAAAGGATATGAACCAAAACCATCCCTTCAAAAAGACAAACTTTTTTACGCTGGTTGGTCACCAAACAAGATTATCAAGTCATCTAAATCAAACAAGAACCCCAGGTTTAAGAGCAAAAAAACCGGAAGAACAATGGGTCAATGGCATACTAAACGGGTACAAATAACAACAATGGGCATTATGAAGACAAGAGATCCAAATACTATCCCACCTGTGGAAACTTAAGAGATGATACTATCTCATTATAAAGAGCAAATTAACCCCAAAGAACTCATCAAGCACAAATATCTAATATAAGCCGACACCAAATGTTTGCTTTCATAAACCAAGAAGAAGACAAAAGGCTATACAACTTCATTGAAGTTGTACAAATGTAAAAGTTCAGTTTATAGCTAAAACAATGGCCAAGCCATAATCCTTATAAAATAAGATCAGTTTGCATGAACCAAACTTTTATCAGGTGTTATATGCTACATGCTCTTGCAAAACCAATTTTTTAAAATCATTTTTTTTATGCCTCCAATCCAAGTAAACTTGAGCCTCCCTTGGCTTCTTTTAAATCCCCATAAACCCAACTCTCCACTTTCCATAATAGACGTCTCACATGCCCAAAGCAACCTACTTGGATCTTATCTTTTACCAAAAAAAAAAAAGCAAGCATTCAAAGGACAAAGATAATACTACAAATAGACAAAGCATTATTTCAACAGCATAAAGAAAATATAGAATAGTTAAGAGTATAAGTCTAAAGCTGAGTTCACCAGGGGTGGAAAAGAATTATAAAGATAAAGGTCTCACCGTCTAGCAGACTACAACAAGTTAGGGAAGAATTCGACTGACCACTGAGCATAAATTCAGCAAAGAAGAGCTTGCTGGAAAAATCCCCAGGAGTAAGAGGCACTGTATCAGGCTTGGCAGTGAAGCTGCAATGAGTAGCATAACAGTGATCCTGATCACCATAGACGATTCCGCCATTACTTTCATACTTATAGTCTGTGTCCTGCATGTTATATCATAAAGGTAGTTTTACGTTATGCATAAGTCTTTACAGGGTAAATAGCAATCTAAATTGACAAAGAAAGTGATATTTAAGCATAAAACATAGAGTAAATTAGAGTACATACATAGGTTTTGTTAAAATAAGCCAAGGCCTTTTCTGAATACTCAGCCACTTCTATCTGGACATCCGCCTCGCTGATGGGCTTATAACAATCCGTACGCCCTGGGTACAACTCAAGCCTATCGGGAATGTACCAGGAATCCTCCTTCTCCAACCTTGTAATCCATAATCAATCTCTTAATTAGTCAACTTTCTATAATTTCAATTCAATTCTTATTAAATTAAATTAATATCTATTATTCCCCTTAAAACAAAAACTTAAAGTTCAAACAAGTAAAATTGGGCGATTACGGAACAAACAAATTATTATCATTATTCCCCATAAAACAAAAACTTAAAATTCAAACTAATCAACAACTGAGACAATAAGAAGCTTATAATCTGGAAAATTATAATCTTACTTGTCCAACATTGCAAAATAATCCGTAAGTGCAGAGTCATCCGCTAGTAAATCCTCCAGTATAGAGGGATCCATGATTTCTGCAAAATTACTGCATTAAATCAAGTAATCAATTTCCAAAAACAAACTAGCCATTGAAGGCGATTAAAACAAAAACCCTCAATTTAGCAACATCAATCATACCTAGCAAAAGAATACTACATTATAAGCACAAAATCCAGGCAAAATCAACAAAAAAATCACCTTGCTCCTGTCGTTTTCATCCCAAAAAAAAAAAAAAAAAAAAAAAAAAAAAAAAAAAAAAAAAAAAAAAACCCTAACTCGTAAATCAATTGAGTAATTAAGTTACCTACCGTAGGAATGGAGTCGTGGTGCACGGTAGGCGGTGGCTGGAAGGTGCGGCGGCAACGGTGTGGCAATCTATGTGACTTTCAATTTGTCGAAGAAATAGAGGAAAGAGATGTTATTGTTCTGTTTTATTTTTACATCCAATTTTTTCGTTCAGCCTTTCAGCGTTGTATATTTATACTACGTACGAGTAGTAAATACCGATGGTTTTATATATATATAAAGCTAAACTTTAAGCCAAGTCACGAGACAACGACACTTGCCATTCTAACTTTTAGATTTAAATACACTTCATAAAATTAAAAAAGTTAGTTTAGAATTTTATTTTGAATCAAATTTGGATAGAATTTTAGAATAAAATTGTTAATTTAGAGTTTTATTTTCAATAAAATAAAATTTGAGTGTCGCACCATGTTGGATAGATTTAAATAGCATTCAGAAGATAAAAAAATAGTTTAGAATTCTATTTGGATAGAATTTTAGGATAAAATTGTTAGTTAAAAGTTTTATTTTCGATGTACAAATACCAATAAAATACCAATTTTTTATATGTACAAATTGAATTATATTTTATTCAAAAAAAATTATTAGATTATAATTCTAAAAAATTATCATATAAATTTACTTTTTTATATCATAATATTTTTTGGAGCGAAGGAAGTACTTCAAGAGTAAAACATACATTTATAATATATACTAACCGGTTAAAATAATATAGTTCACAATCTAAGCTGATAGAATAACTATGTAGACATGTCAATTAGGATCGGGTCATGAGTAATTTTGGATTGAGTCACTTCAGGTTACGAGTCAAAACTGTTCAACCCTTGCCTAAAGTTTTGGGTTCGAATCAACCCAACGGGATTTGAACATTTATTTAATTTAATTTATTTTTTGCTATTTTTTTTTTGTTTTTTATGTATTAAATCGAACATTTTCACTAATATTATTAGGCATTACTTTGATATATATAGAATAAAAATTTATCTTAAAATTTAATAAACAACCCGGGCATCGCACGGGGCACGATACTAGTATGTATATATACTAATTTTGTGCCCCGTGCGATGCCCGGGTTGTTTATGGAATTTTAAGATAAAATTATATTATAATTCAATTTAATTGATTGAAAATAGAATTCTAAATTAACTTTTTTTTTCTACAAAGTCTATCTATATTTATCCAACGTGGTACAACACTTGGTGAAAAGTTAAAATGCTATACGAAGTTGTCTTGTGGCCTAACTATAAGTTTATTATTTGTATTTTATCGAAAATAAAACTCTAAACTAACCATTTTATTCTAAAATTCTATCCTAATCTGATTGAAAAAAGAATATTTAACTAACTTTTTTATCTTATGAATCTATTTAAATCTATCCTAAGTGGCGCGAGACTTGGCGAAAAGTTAGAATGTCAAGTGTCACTATTTCGTGACATGGTTAAAAGTTTAGCTTTATATATATTAGTTATATGATATTTTTTGGTTTCCTTTTTCCCTATTCTCTCTTCTCCTATCTTTCCTAATTCTACTCAAAGTTTTCCATTAAAATTTTCATTACTATATTTTATTATCTGTTTTTTTTGGACAAATTATACTCTATTTTTTCTCCTTTCTTCTTTAATTCCTTTTTCCTATGTTTTTTTTTTTTCTATTTTTCTCGTTTTTTTTTATTTTTTATTTTACGATTGAATCTGTTCCTTGCAATATGGAATTGGTTGTTTATCTGATTTTTTTAATTCATATGAAATGAATTTTTTTAGCTTCAATTAATTTCATTTGTGTATGAATTTCATCTGATTTTCTGCATTTTTTTTATCAATGAACATTATCAAGCAAAATATGAACATATGCATAGGTTCCTTTAAATGTGAACATTAACTTTTCATAAAGTGAACATAGGCATAATTAATATGAACATATGCATTTAAGAAAGTAAACATAATAATATTATTATGAACATATTTAAGAAAGAGAACATATGAATAAACAGACTTAATGAGAATATTTCATGAACAACAAATATTTATTATAAATATTTACATTATGAACATATAAATATTATTATGAATAGGAAAAAGCTAATGAGCGCCCCAGGGCGTTAGATAAATGAATTAAAGTGCAAATATTAGAGTAAAATTAACATTAATTACACTGAACGACGCGTGATTTTGTCATAAATTCCTAACTTAATACCATTTCAACCAATATAATTTATCCTTATCTAACGCCCCGGGGCGCTCGTTAGCAAGATCCTTATGAATATAAGGTATTTAATTATGAACATAAAAAATTGAAAAAATAAAACTTAATATTATGAAACGTATGCATTTTTTAAAATGGACATACGCATTCAAATCCATTGATTCATTTTTGAATGCGTATGAACATAATTAAGCATTCTAGAAGGTGAACATATACATAAAAATGGCAATGGGTTGGATCAAGGTCCACTCAGACACATTTTTAACTAGTGTAGACCGGGCGTAGCACCGGGTTGCTATTTTATTTATTCCCTGTGATTATATGTATTAGATATATATAATGTTTTTATTTTTTAATTTTTTAATTTTTATTTTTATTATAATGAGACCTTATGATTATCAATTATATATTTATTTTCATGTTTATAACATAGTTGATAGTTGGCTTAGATGGTTAAATAACCATTTTTTATATGAAGCAATATTTGGTGACGTGACATGATGAGAGATGGAGTAGGTGACGTGACGTGGATTACGTGGCACAGAAACGTTCTTAGCAACGCCTTTTAGAGTAGATATATATTCTTTTACCCTTTCCCCTACTCCTAAAGTACTTAGCCCACTAACCCGAGCTTGGAGGACCTGTGAGTGGCTCGATACGCAGGGCCCTTCTCATATCAACATTAATAAAAATTTATAATTATAGCATTAGAACTTTTTGTAAAAAAAAAAAAGCATAAGAACTTTGTGTTTATTCACGTATTTTCTTATTAGTTTGCATCAATTTGCTTGTATAATAGGACATTGAAACTTCTGTTAATTTGCTGGTGTCGAATTTATATAAATAAGGAGATAATATCAAATAAATATAAAAAATTACTTAAAATCTTATACACGTATAATATTTGATGATAATTATCACCCTATATAAGAAGGATTGTTTTAAGGATTTAATCCGGTTAAGATGGAATAGGTCATTGGCTAGGGCCCATCTCCTCCCTACTATCAAACATTATAGTTACGACTTACAAAAGCAGTAAGCTTGTAACAGTTAGTTAATGTTGAGTTGATCAGTCCTTCAACAGTTCTTCTTGGGTTAATAAACTTTTGCCTATCGAGTATGAGAACTTATCGTATCAACAATGTTCATGGTATTCCTACTGTCACTGTGAAAATATTAGTATTTAAAAAGTTGTTGGGGTAGATGTCAAACAAACATGGAGCAGGACATATATTCTAATCTTGTATGCAGATCATGCCAATTGTATGGTCTTTAGTCCCTCAAGGCCCCAATCTAGTTATTATGAGTCCATACTTACAAAGAAAACGGCCCATCTTGAGCCAAGGATTCAGGCCGGGCCTAACTTCGGGTCAAAACCTGTGTCCAAACTCAATTTTTTTGGCCAAAAAAGACAGGCTTAAATTCAACTAAAGTCAGTTTTTTGGGCTGCCCATGAACCAATTATTTAGGGAAATTTTTTTAAAAAAAGTTAGGCCGGACCAGCTGACCAACGAAGCCTTTTCGGGCCGAATTGGGCTAGATTTTATCAGGTCTATTTTAGGTAACCCTTATTACTTTATTAGTCTCTTATCTAAATTTAGTTTTTCTTTAACTTGTGTTAATTTTGTTTTTTATAAACTTTATCTTATCTAAACTTTTTAACCCTTGTAGTAGTATAAACTACTCTTTAAATATTCTTTCACCTTTTTTTATTTTATTTATTTATTTTAATTGAAATATTTCATGAGTAGAATTCTGGTGAATAGAGTTGTCTATTCAGATGTACAAGTCGGATTTGGTGAGGTTGGATTTAATCTAATTTTATGTGTGAGTCATACTAACTTAACGTGTCTATGCAAGTCAAAATCTAAACCGGATATTTTTCGGATTGGTTTTAATCATGTCGGTCAGATGAGGTTTTAACACCTCTAAGTCCGTGAACATGGAGTTACAGTTTTAAAATCTACTAGCAGTGATATATACAGCATGTTACAGCCAAACTTTTTGACTATCAAATCCCAAGAAAGTCCATGGTCATTTCTTCAACCCAGAATTCCCTCATTACCCATCTTTAATCCCTCCCTACATACATTAAAAAAAATGAAACTATTTACGAAATAACAAATTCAAATACTAAATAGATAATATTATAATGAAATAAATGAAGTCACCGTCCACAACTCAACACAAATCCAACATCACATTCACATCATCAGCCTCTGTATTCTGTAGGGTCCCATATGGCTTGTTCACACTTTCCTAGGTGTCCACCTTCTCTTTCTCTCTCCTTTGAAATTAAACTAATTGAAAAAAACAATTACCCACCTTCTCTTTTGCTGACCATATTTTTTTTTCTTCTTTTCAAATCTTTCAACTCCAATCCTCTTACGCGTTCACACTTCTCTCACACATTTTTTTCCAACATATAAAGTGCACATCTTCTTCTCTTTTTTTTATTTTCTCCTTTCTCTCTCTACAATTTCACTCTTCTACTGTTATTTTCACTTAATTTTTTCTAATTTTGAGACTAACCCAGTTTGAATTTGCTCATATTTTCCCAAATTCAGCTCATTTAATTCATTCTTTTTGCTGGAATTTGAAGTAATCTTCATAACTTGGGACTAAAGCTTCAGATGCTAATTCCTCTGTAAGACGTCTCTTTTTAATTGGGTTTTTTTTTTGGGTTTAATTTATGTTTTTTTTTTTCAATTGTATGCAAGAATATTAGTGGGGTTTGATTGAATTGAATTTTTGTTGGAAATGAATTTCTGATTATCTTTTTCTGCCAGGTAAGTTATATAATTGCAGATATGAATGAAGGGGGTAATAATCAAAGCAATGGTGGAAGAAAAAGAAGGAAGAAGAATGGAAATGGGGTAGATGAAAGTGTTAATTTTGAAGAAAAACAACAACCCAGTGACAAGAAAGAAACAAAGGAAATGATGATCACATCATATTTGTTATTAGAAGACCAAGAGAAGCAAGAAAAAGAGGAGTGGGAAGAATTTGCTGATCAAGAGAAACTCGATTTCGAGGCGATTCATAAGAAAAAAACACAAGCAATGTTGGATTACAATTCGAATTTGCAGAGTAGCTATGAGGGTTTGGATGATACTGATATATTAAGGCGAAAGCGAGCGAGGGGAGCTGTTAATTCTGCAATGGTTGTTGCTGCTACTGAAATGATTGAGAAAGGTGGTAGTATTGAGGCTAGCAGTAAGCAATCTAGTGGTTCATCAGTGAGTCATCAGCGTCGATTATGGGTGAAAGATAGGTCTAAAGATTGGTGGGATAAGTGTACTAGTCCTGATTATCCTGAGAGTGAGTTTAAGAGATGGTTTAGGATGGGAAAAGCTACATTTGAGTTGATTTGTGATGAGTTAAAGGTGGCTGTTGCGAAAGAGAATACGATGTTGAGGGCTGCTATTCCGGTTGATCAACGAGTTGCTGTGTGTATATATAGGTTGGCAACAGGTGAGCCGCTTAGGTTGGTGTCTAAGAGATTTGGTTTGGGGATTTCAACTTGTCATAAGATTGTTCTTGATGTTTGTGCTGCAATTAGGTCTGTTTTGATGCCCAAGTACCTGCAATGGCCTGATGAGGATTCATTGAGACAGATTAAGGAGGAATTTGAATCAATTTCTGGCATTCCTAATGTGGTTGGTTCTATGTATACAACTCATATACCAATAATTGCACCTAAGATTAGTGTGGCTGCTTATTTCAATAAGCGCCACACTGAGCGAAATCAGAAGACTTCGTACTCGATTACAGTGCAGGGTGTGGTTGATCCTAGAGGGGTTTTCAACGACGTGTGCATAGGATGGCCTGGTTCAATGCCTGATGATAAAGTGCTGGAGAAATCAGCATTGTATCAGAGGGGTAATCAAGGGCTTTTGAAGGGTGTGTGGATTGTTGGTGGTGCTGGTTACCCTTTAATGGATTGGATCCTTGTGCCCTATAATCAGCAGAACCTAACTTGGACACAACATGCTTTCAATGAGAAGATTGGCGAAATTCAAACCGTTGCTAAGGATGCCTTTGCAAGGTTAAAAGGAAGATGGAGTTGCTTGCAGAAGCGAACCGAGGTTAAACTTCAAGAACTACCAGTGGTTCTTGGTGCCTGCTGTGTGTTGCATAACATATGTGAAATGAGAGGGGAGGAATTGGATCCTGAACTGGTTTTCGAATTATTCGACGATGAAATGGTCCCTGAGGTTCCATTGCAGTCATTAACCTCCATGAAAGCTAGAGATTCAATTGCCCACAATTTGTTGCATCATGGTCTTGCAGGCACTGGCTTTCTATAATTAGAAAATCATTCAGTTTATAGGTTCTTTTCACCCTTTATGCTGTAAAAATAGCTCCATATTTTCACTCCTTTACAAAGATAATGATTTTTGGAATGCATAGGCCAAAATTTGTACTCTACAACATAGCAAATAGGCATAGAATACTTTTGGTTCATACTTTAAATTGCTCTTAATCAAGATATGGATGTATAATTTCGGAATGACCTTTAATTTGTACCATTCTTTCAAATGATTTAAACAACTATGCAATTATTCTTAATTCTTAATTTGACCTTTCTAAAATTTAGAGAATTTTTTTTATTTTTTGTTTGTTTTCTACTAAGGTATAATCTCTCCTTACCCTCAATTATTATGTGATGTATTGTCTAGAATGTCAATGTTATTTTATTTGTGTGAAACACAATACTCAAATAGAGTATTAGTTTTGACGCGTTTAGTATCTGGACATCATAAGTAATTATCTGGATTTTGTCTGATCTATTATCGAATAATATTTAATGACATTACATGATGTTGCAAAATGTATCTAATAATAATACCATAGAATGTATTGACCAGATTCTCTTCATCATAATATATACAAAGACTTTAATTACTAGCATAAGTTTCATTCATTAAAATTAGACTTAGTCATAAAATTCCAATAACTGAACAAAAAGTTCTAGTCAATAAAAAAAAAATCAGCCACCAAAAATAATTTCAATAGTTCAATAAAAATCAGTTAGAACGCAACAAGATCCCAACTTATCTTAGATCGATAAAAGTAAATGTGTGTAAACTCACAAGAGATATAGTTAAAATACTTGCGATTGATGTTGACTAATGTTGTAAATGCAATACAAACGGGAAAGAGGGATTCATTTCTTATAAAATTGGATCAACAAGATTAAGACGCAACAAGGGTGTCTCCCCTTTTCCATGCCTGGTGTGAAACCATTATCATGCTTATTTGCACCAACAACATCATTGACTTTTTTGGAGGTCGATTTTGACTTTATGTCGTAGGCTATCGACATATGATCTTGCGTTCACATTTGTAATGGATATAACTTTTTCAATTGTAATTGGAAATATTTTTTCAATGTTGATTATTCTATTCTTGAGATCTTTAGCTTTAGCCACTTAGGTCAAAGCAATTGATTGAGTTGTTCACACTTTCTATTCTAGGAGTTGGAGAACCAAAGATTATTTCTCACCAATTTTTATCAAAACTATGAAAGGTCAAAAAGTTGTTTAACACTATTTTCATTCTTATGATGAAAGTGTGATAAACGATTAGGACTTTCATCACCTCTCATTCTATACTAAAAGGTTACTCAACAAAATTGTACAAAAACATTTTTTAATCAGCAATTTAATCAGTCCTGTCCCAAAAAAAAAAAAAAAAAAAAAAAAAAAAACTTAACCCCCTACATTAAAAACTCTATGGCCTTGTTTGGCAAGTGGCTGTTGGCGGTTGGCTGGTTCACTTGGCTTGTTTGACCAGCTGATATGTTTGACTGTTTATAATAACTTTTGAAATTGGCGGTTAAAGTTGGCTGTTTATAAAAGTGTTTGGTAAATTAATTGTTGGTAGTTGGCTGTTTATTAGATAATTTGTGGGCTAACAAGCCAAAAGCCAACAAAAAAAGCTACTCAAAACAGCTTTTTCATTTTGGCTTAAAAGCCAGCTTTTTCATTGGCTAAAAAGCCAATTACTAAACACATTTTTTAGCTGTTTGACCTCATAAAAAAGCCAAATGCCAAAAGCTAACCAAAAAGCCATTTACCAAACATGGCCTATGTCTGGATTGTTACGTTTTTTGTCATTGAACATCTTTGAATATTAATATTTTCAATTACATATTAGTAATAGTTACTCCGTATAATATATCACTCATCGAGACAAATCAAATAATACCCTAATTGACAATGCTTTATCTCATGAATTAGGGATAAATCGGAAGATTTCTTACTCCTTATAAATTGTGAATGTTAACAAGACATGAAAACTTTTTGAGATAAAAGGAACATCTTTAATTGGTTTTTTTTTTTTAAAGGAACATCTTTAAAAGTTGTGCACTTAGAAGAAATTGTGCTTTATATAGGAACAAAAGGAGTAAAGTTTATAATTGTTAAAAGATAATTAAATATATTAATGGTTAGTCATGTGGTGAAATACATAAAATCCAATTGTTGTTGCAATAAATAAAGAAAGAAAGAAATATTAACATTAAAGAAAAATAATTTAATTCAACCCCATAATATTTCTTTTTTAGACGCCGACAAGATAATCACAAAGGTTGCTTGTTGGTCAGGAAAATAATCGTTGCAGTATTTGCCGGGATGGTGCAACATCAATCTCAAAATAAGTATCAACAAACACAAAAGAAATGGTTTGAACCTATTTATATATTCTCAATAAACCAAACTACTCACACCTGATAGCAGCCTGGATAACCCATAAACACATTATAATAGTCGCCTTCATGTTAATTGAGGTCAACAATCCCATTAAAAAAAGGTGGCAACTTACAGCCTGCCTCTACCAGTCTTCTATTTTCACTAGTACATGATGAAGCTACAAGAATCTACTATATTGATAGAATTGAATTTTCTCAATTAATAAAAGACAAAAAAAGATTCAGACAGCTAAGCAATATATAGTGGACATTGAGAGAAGAGAGTTCAAGGAAAGGAAGGACCTTGAAGGCTTGAACCAACCGTCAGACTCAACATCGAGATTTTGATACAGTAGCAGGGTTCATTTGGATCGCCATGTCTCCAATCGATGACCATCATGTTTGAGATGGTAAACGGAAGGGAAAATGTGCAAAATGAATCCTTAGGATGGAGGATTCAGGTTTCTTATCGTCAAATTTGTAGCCTGCACATAATGCAAAGCTTAGCAGAAATCCAAATGATTGCGAATGGAATGAAATCTACATGATGATACAAGAGATTTATACACTCTAAATGATATGCAACTAAGCATAATGTCCACTAATTGCATCAAAAACTAGAATTATTGACCATAAATAGAGATACCATCAGGGGACTGCCTATCCACACAGTCCAGGAAAAAGGGCAACAAAGGAAAGTGATGAAAAAAATCCAAGCAGATAATTACAACCCTTTACTACCTTTCTCCTTTCCCTTCCATTTTACAAAAAATATCTTTCATTTGTTATCTTCTCAAAAGAAGAGAAAACTCAAACAATCTAGTATGGCATAATCCATGATTTGCTGCATGTAAGCCTTAAGATGAGCTATTCATCATATCTAAGATCCACAAAACGTGAGGCGCTCTGAGGCACTAAAGGTTTTCCAATACAAGGCATGAGGCATACTGTCACCTCGTAGATCTACCTTAGGAAAGCCTCAATGCGCTTTTCTCAGCATAGGGTTGCTTGAGGTGATGACGCTTAGCACCTTATAGCACCTTGCTCCTAGCATGTCAGAGGCATGTTTTATTAAACTAAGCAACATGTGGGGTACAATATCAAGAGTCAAGTGTCCAAATGTCTCAACCAAAGAGAAATAAAGGTTCAGGAGAGATAGCACCTCATGACAAATACAAAAGAAAATTTAAGAAAATGAGAAGATAAATGAAAATCAAAACAAACCATTGAGTGCTTCCATAGCTGTAAGGGCACATTTTGAATCATTAAATTCAACGAAACACAGCACCATTGCTTTCTCGCCACTCTGAAATACAAGAAGAGATTAACGTAACTAATAAGATTAAAAGAGGGGTGAGATTTTTTTATTTATTTTTTATTTTTTAACCTTTTTTTTCCAGCACTACTTGTATATACACACATAAGAAAGAATATTAAGTGATGTGGTTAACAACTTAACACTGGATGCAAAACATGTTTTTTTTTTAATTAATCTTGCATTCACAGATCTTCACACACCGAAAAAATATATGAGGAAACATTTGCACTCGTGACTATTATATTCATATTATTCTGCACTAGATCATAATGAATATTTTTTTTCATTTTTCCCCTGCCTCAATAGTCTTTGTGGCTATACCTTGTTCATTTCAGCTTTATATTTGATTTAGAATAAAATGATACGGGTTACAACGTCTCATTCACAATTCAAAATAAGTTCGGACAAGAACTAGTAACTTCTAACAAGTTCATATAAAGTGTGATAAGGGCCAACAAATTCAGATACTTCGTATAAAGATTTTTGTTGAAATGAACAAAACTTTACCCGTCTTGCTTCCTTGTGTATGACTTTGATATCCTTAAAGCCTATAAAAGGACGAAAAATATCTACAATTCCAAGTCAAGGAAAGGCAGGTGGTCGAAATAATATATAAAGCTTAAAAGAACAAATATAATAAACAAATATTAAGACATTACCAATTTAAAAGGTCTCTGTAGGACATCATTTAGGAAATTTAAACACGCTAACTCAGCATAAATATACAGACTCTAGCAGCAATATGAATGAATATTTTCAATTATTTTCATCATCAATTGTTCAAAGTTTCAAACAGTAACTCCTAAAGAGAGATGGAGATGTTACTGTCCTTCCAGCCAGAAATAAGGACACATGAGAGTAAAAGAGTGAAAAATAAACAAAAAGATTGATGCAAAAGGTCGTATTGCCCCTTCTGTATGAAACTGTGAAACCCTCTGCTAGCTGAAAAAAAAAAGTGATTTCATGTGTGCAAGTGAAAATAAAAGTATACCCTCTATTTCTCATACCCTTCATTTCACATAGGTCGATATACTCAGATACTCACAAATGAGTACACTGACACAATAATTCATGTTATGTAGTAACAAGTTATACCATGCATAAGATTCATATATATGCCAAGTATCATATCCGCCTTTGATACTTGTCATCAATTTCTGTCCAGCATAGTCACATAGTGGGCATCACCAGCCCTTCATCAAGCAAGACCCTCAAGGCCTCAATAACCCAATGTACAATAATTCAATAAATATTCTCCAGAAGATAGTAACCATAACAAAAACCAATGCAAAAATGAAATTTTAAAAGCTAGCATTGAGAGGATACGACCAACTTCCCTTCTGGTGCAGTCAGTTGGAAGCCCATCAACAAAAAGAATGTTTGATTCAGTTTCATGCAAAGAGAGGCTTTCAACCCTTCGCTGAGAGTTAGGTCTCTCATAAATGATATCTGGATTGCCAGGAGGCACAGGACTGATTCCTAAAGGGACATCTCGCCTTTGGCTAAATAGAATGGGGTCTTCAAGGGAAGATGTGTAGCCTCTAGCACTCATTCCTGCTGTCAACCCGCCTAAAGCAGGCTCACTACGTGCAGAAAAACCTGAAATATCATCCAAACCATAAGCTCTAGACCGCAAGGGCACTACCTACAATAAATAAAAAAAACACGTCACAATCCAGATTGCAATGCATAAGAATGACTAGCAGTTGAGAAGTAAATACTTACATCCCTGCCCAGGGGATCTATAGATGAATCGCGCAAATCATTTGGTCGCAACATATGATGAGCCATCTCTGAATCCTTTAATGTAAAGTGAGCTGAATAATCTAGCCTCCAAAGGTATGTACCTACACTCCCAGTCAGTTGGAAAGCTAAGATTCATATACAGAAAAAAGAAAAGCCTACATAAAACTAAGATCCCCAAATTGAAGAATATACAAAAAGTGAAAATTTTCCACCATGTAACCTCAACTAGCATCAAACTCATGTAGAGCATATACTAGATACAATCTCCATTTCCCATCACAAAAAAAAAAAAAAAAAAAATAAAATAAAAAAAAAATAAAATAAATAAAAATCATACTCCATATATATGAAAGAAATGGGTTAAAAAAAAAAAAAGCTTCGTAGATATTCAGAAATCGGCTAACTGAAATATAGATACTACAGAGAAGCTATATATGGGGTAAACACTTACTTACTTAAAGTGAAGAGATGTTTGAACCAAGAACCAATAGTGCCAAAGTATTTAATCATTATACAGATCGCGAAATCATAATTTACCCAATTGAAGATAAATAAACACTAACGGTATCATGTTACGGAGGTTTTTCATCCTTGTTAATATATAAATCTAGCAAAATACTTAAATCTGAAAGCAACAGCCTGCCAAGTAGTTCCCTCTTAGGAGACTAACCCGATTTCCCCAACATCAATATGTAACAGACCAAGCTTGTGGGCCAAGTAAGCCACCAATTATCAAGCAGTACTAGAGGAGGGGAAAAGGAGGTGAGCAAAAGGGTTAGCAGCTACATCAGAAAAGGAATCGAGGAGGTGGCATATGATGACAAAAGCAATTAAGAGCTGCAGGAGAAGGAAACAACAGCAAGTAGAGGAGCCTTGGCATAGCAACTTTTGTGGAATGAAGCTAAGAGTAGTTAACTAACAGCTATATTTTGTAATCCTTGTTTGTATATAAATTAAGGGATGGGGGAATAGTAGGGTTATGTGATTAGAATCATTTGAATTTGGAATCCTAAAGATACCATCTCGGAGATTGGTAGCCTCAAGCTACCCAACCTTTCAATTAAAGGAAAATTTGCCAAACTTGCTTGCTGATTATTCTTGTTCTAGTATTATTTGTGTTGATTTGCATTCGTGAGTGCTGAGTCTATTACACAATAACAGACATACAGAAGCAAAACAAATGAGGCATGGGAAATTCAATTTGTAATTATGGAGAAAGATTCTATCACAGCAATCACTAGAAAAAGAGGTACAAGTAACTAAGGGTCTTTATTTGAGTTGAAATACAACACCTGGTAACACTGGTAACTATGATCTCTTTCATGCATGTTCAATGAATCACTATTGACCTGGACATTTAGGGCCTATATGGAATAAGCATTTCCAAAACAAACCAAACGTTTGCAATATAAAGCTAAATAAATAAATAAAAGAAAAGGAGCTCTTGCAAACCTATCACAACCATACAAATAATTGTCGCCAGAAACATAGTAGCATTCAACAACCACCAATTATTATATATTAGACATTCCGATCATATTAATACTATTGCACCCTTGATGATTATTGCATACAGGAATCTTTTTACAAGAGAAGAATCTTATAGCTGTTCAAATTAATCAACATTGAAAGCAAGAGTTAGGGCCTCTTCTGTACAGCTTAATTTAAGTTCAGCTTACGCCTCTCATAAACAATTCATTTCAGCTCTATTCAATTCACTTCAGTTCAGTTGTTTTTAGTAAATCGGAAGAGGCCCTTAGACATAGTCATTTCTTGTCCATTCAAAAGCCAAACATACCTCTATACGGCATGAACCAACATAGAACAAAGACCATCCACATTAAGCATAAAACCCATTCCACATCAATCCACATAGCACCTAAACAAGCAGTAGCTTAGATCCAACTGATTCCCATCATCACTAAGTACAAAATTTAACCATTCATATCCCCATCACAATTATCCATCGATATTTGTCGAAATCCATCTATACTTCACTAAATCATCAAAAAACCTTATGTTTAGCATATAAAGGAGCTCAGCTTACACGATTGATCACTGCCCCAACATCCACAATATCTACTATTCCAAATTTCAGTAATTTTCTATAATGCGCACCCTAGATTACTAGTGCCCTACAATCCGACACCCGAACACATTACGAAATTCAGATAAACACAAAAATATCTCAGCAAACATGTAATCGATCACAAAAGATTTCAAATTGAGTAGCTAAGCCCACAAAAACAGTATCCAATTTTAATCACAATGCAATAAACTACAAAAAAACCTACGGAGTATAATTTACAGTGCCAAGAAAAATTGGCCATTTCAATAACCTAATAAACATCAATATTGAGCTAACATTAAAATTAGAAGCATGCAATTCCCAATTATAAAGCCCAAACAATCCAAGTTCATTATAATTTAAACCATAAAAATGAAAACTTGAACAATTTTTTAAATTATTCGACGCTTACCTCGCAGCTTCAGAATCACAGCGATTTTAGTTTCTCTTGTTTTATTATTCGAGAACAAATTTACCAGCAGGAAGATAAACCCTAAAATAAGCTGAATTTCTGAAAATCTGAAATTGAAAGAGAGATTATCGAAAGCTTCTGGAGAACTCCAGAGCTCTGTCTGCCGGAAAGAGGCAGCAGTTAAGTTACCTGAGTAAAACAAGACTAAGGGTTTTTTTTTTTTTTGTTTACTTGTTCTTGGTTCTTGAAGGAATCCCTATTTATGAAGTTAAACTGTTAAATTAAATTAAAGAACTATATAGCATTATCATTAAATTGAAGTATTTTTTTTAAAATTATTTTGTAACTTTGGTTTTTTTTTTTTTTTTTTTTTTTTTTTTAAAAAACAAACTACAAATTAATATTAAAGTAAATAAAATTAACCGTCGCTTCTCCAGCAATTTGATGAGCCCGATGAACACGCTGACGATCTACCTTATGAAATCGACAATATTGAAAGGTTGAGCCGAGCCGTTTAATCTTGGTGATGAGCCAGAGGTAATCAATGTTACCCTTACCATCCTCCGAAAAAGCGTAACCAAGATGATAGGAGTCAGTAAAGACGATTTGATATAAAATAAAAATAATAAATAAAATAAATAAATTAAAAAAAAAAAAAAAGAGTGAGGAATACATTGTTAAGTGGTTAGAACTCTTTCCCGATGTCAGGTCAACTTGAGATTGATTCTCATAACTCGTCTTTGTGGCTCTCCAAACGCCAAAAAAAATAAAAAAAAAATTAGCATCTCTCTAATTGTATATAGTAAGTTAAATTTAACCAAAAAAGTAATAATTACAAGTCAAAGTACTTCAAAGAGGTGATCAAACGACAAGCTGAGTTGGGTTCAGATCGGGCCAAGCCAAGGTTCGTGGTAGAATTGCTTGCTTACAACCCGTAAAATTGATCGTGTTTTTTAATAGTCGGGCCAAAAAAAGCTTAAAATGCATGTCCAAAGCCTGCGAGAATATAATAAAATCTCGAGTTAGGCCCAACCTGAGCTCAATTCAAGAACTTTTGTAGCAAGTCTTTAGAGGCGGTACGGTATTACCAGAAGAAAAGAGGCTAATAAACAATGAGAAAGTGTCAGCATCAGCTTCAAATCCTTTGCTAACCATAATGTCGCGGTAGTATAATGCATTTGACAAGTAGGGATGGCAACGGGTCGGACTCGGAGCGGATTATGTTAAATCCGACTCCGACCCGACAGGAAGTCGGAGGTTAAATCCGACATCCAACTCCGACTTCAATATCCGACCTTCGACTCCGATTTCGATCCGACCCGACTCCGAGTTTTTTTTTTCATTATTCAATATACTTTGAGATGTTGGGCTATTTGGGCCTTTACAACCCACACCCAATGTCACCATGACCCACACAAAAATCCACTATCTATTGGAGTCGGAGTCGGATAATCCGTTAAAGTTGGACATTTGTCGGAGTCGGATTTTTTTTCTCGGATTTTTTGTAGGATCCGACTCCGACCCTCCTCCGACTCGTAGTCGGATTATTTTAACGGAGTCGAACTCGGATTACTTTTTTCTCGGACTCAGAGCGGATATTTTACCTCGGATCGGGGCGGAATAGGGTCGGATCCGGACTAGATTGCCATCCCTATTGACAAGTCATTATTAAGAATGTATCCGGACGATTGTATTATAGTGTACGTTTTACAATTAGGTAACAACTACTATCCCTTTGCAATAGTAACAACTGCCTGATTCTTCCAGGATTGCGACATTTGGTTTGTTGGACCCAAAGCGTTATTTTGTTGACATTTTGGCCTTGAGAAAGTAGTTGAAACAGGTGACTTAGCTGCAAGGGTCCTCAAGAAACCAGGTCTCACTAAATCAGCTGTTGCGGATTTGGCTTGAGAAGTTGGGGTTCAGTATGATGGTCCACCAAATGGTTCTGGAAGTAAAATTCAAGTTGATTCGAGGAATCCAACAGTGTTAACTGAGGAAATGGTGAAGAGAACCATCAACGATGCTATTGCTAATTACCTCATTGGTTGCAAGATCTTGAGCAACATCAGTAGTAACTGACAGTGCAAGTAGTTATTCGTAAATGTTCTCTGAAAAAATTACTGCTTGGTATTATTTCTATCAGCATTCACCAATTGCTTTTGCTTACCTTCTTGTTCATCCATCTTTCTAAATAAGAGGGTTTGTTTAATGATATTCTTGAACATGCTTGTATTCAATTTATTAACCAGTGAGCTTCTTTTAAAATTGCATCTTCTAAACCCAATACACTGCAATACAAACCAATATATAATCTGATTCCTCAAAGCTTTACAATTTTACAGTTACTACTTAGAACTAAGAATTAGAAGAGGCCCTAAAATCATTAGTGAGTATATAACGTGTAAACTAAATGATGGAAACACACATAAGATACCTTGGCCAAGCAGAATCAATTGCCACTTACATATCATGAATCACATCAATTGTTAAAACCAGAAAAAGGTCTAAAGTTAGTCCTTGAGCTTGAATTTCTGTAACTGCCTTTCAATACAGGAACCTCTACAGCCGGTCTTTTGAGGAGTTATTATCAGAAGGCAAGAGGCTAACAAGCAGCGACAAAGTGTCAGCATCAGCTTCAAATCCTTTGCTAACCATAATATCCCGATAGTACCTTTGATAAGACATTACAATTAATATATCCTCAGATGATTGTAGTATAGTTATGATCATTAGGGCGAAATCCATCTTCTTCCATTTTGCTTAATAATTGAGCAGCTTCACTCATAAGCCCTATCTTGCAGTAGCCTTCAATCATCATAGTGTAAGTTTTACAATCAGGTTGCATACCTTTCTGCTGAAGAACAGAGAAAAACTTAGCTGCATCTTCAAGTTGCTCAGCCTTACAAAAGTAGTGGATTAGGATACTGTAAGTGATAACATCCGGATTTACACCAGTAACCTCCATATCTTCAAGTAAGGCCAACGCCTCAGCAGACTTTGCACTTTTGCACAAGCCAAGAAGCAACGAATTATATGTGACAACATCAGGAGTAACCCCGTGAGCTTGCATATTTGTGAACAACTGATGTGCACATGTAAGTCTCTTGGCTTTACACAAGCCAACAATAAGAGTGTTGTAGGTAGCAACATCCAGAGTTATCCCCTTCTGAACCAATTCATTGAATATGTTGAAAGCCGTTGCTAAGTCATTATTAAGAATATATCCACGGATGATTGTAGCATAGGAATAACCATTAGGGGGACAACCATCTTCTTCCATTCTGCTGAATAATTGAGAAGCTTCACTCATAAGCCCTTTCTTGCAGTAGCCTTTAATCATCATATTGTAAGTTTTACAATCAGTTTGCAGACCCTTCTGCCGAAGAACAGAGAAAAACTTAGCTGCATCTTCAAGTTGCTCAGCCTTACACAAGTAGTGGATTAGGATACTGTAAGTGATAACATCAGGATTTACACCATTACCCTCCATATCTTTAAGTAAGGCCACTGCCTCAGCAGACTCTGCACTTTTGCACAAGCCAAGAAGCAACGAATTATATGTGACAACATCAGGAGTAACCCCGTGAGCTTGCAAATCTGTGAACAACTGACGTGCAAGTGTAAGTCTATTGGCTTTACACAAGCCATCAATAAGAGTGTTATAGGTAACAACATCCGGAGTTATCCCATTCTGAACCATTGCATTGAATATGTTGAGAGCCTTGTCAGTGTTCTCGAGTTTGATACATCCATATATCATAGTGTTAAAACTCACAAGATCAGGCTTACAACCATTTATGGTCATGTTCCCAATCAGCTTTTCAGCATCTTCCATCCGGCCACACAAATAATAACCATCAAGTAAAGCATTGTAAGCAACGACGTTTGGAGTCACACCTATGTCAATCATGCGCTGCAATGTGGCTTGTGCAACATCAACCTCACCCTCTTTGCAAAACATGTCAACCAACATACAGTAGGCCTTAACACCTGGTGCCATGTTACTATCTAACATCTCAGTCAACACACGCTTAGCCTCATCCCGAGAGCCGGAATTATAGAGGCCGCGAACCAAGGAGATGTGAGTGTCAACATAGGGTTTGATGCCCTCATTTCTCATAGCATTGAACAAGTCATGTGCCTCTTTAACAATCCCTTTTTTACAAAGACTATCAATAATAGTAGTGTATATGACAAGATTAGGCTTACAACGACCTTCTAATTGCATTTTCTTAAACAAATTGAGAGCACATGTATTACGACCAGTCCTACAAAACCCCTTGATCATAGCACCATAAGTTACAACATCAGGTTGAAAACCCAACTTGACAATCCTATCAAACAAAAGAGTAGCTTGAGGGAACTCATCATTATTGATATAGCCATTGATTAAGGTGTTAAAGGTAAAATCATCAGGAGAATAACCAAGCTTAATCCTTTTACCAACAAGAGAAAACCCGAAATCGACCCGACCCAGATGACAGTAAGAATCAGCAACAATGTTGAGGGAAAATTTGTTAGGAGTAACGCCGAGAAAGTCAAGGCGTCTGGAGAGAGAAACAATGGTGGAATGAGGATGAAGGTGCTTCAATTTGGAAATGGAGTTCAAAAGCTGACTGAAAACAGCAGTAGAAGGAAGAGGGTGCAATGAAATCAAATCATGGAAGAGAGTAAGAGGAAGTTTGAGATCAGAAAAACCTAAAACGCACCTTTCAATAATTGAATCGAGATAGATATCACCAGTGATGCGACCGGTTTTGTTAGCAATCAGAGTTGCGGATCTGACAAAGGAGTTGGGCTGCATATTTGACATTGTTGCTGCTGGACTGCTTAGTACGACTACTGTATTTCCCTAGGATTCAACTCCATTCAAGTGGAGAATGCCCATAGTTTAGTAAATTAGTAGGGTATATAGGTAATTGTACAAAAACTCAAAAAGAAACAAACGCCTAATTTTGGACACTCGATGAGGAATATTAAATACTTTTAACTTTTTTTGAAAAATTAAGTACTACCTCCGTTAATAATTACTCCCTCTGTTTTTAAATACTTGCTCCATTTCTCTTGGACACGCATGTCGATGCTAATCTTTGATCACTAATATATTTAATTATCAAAAAGTATAAATTCTAACAATTGAAAATTAATAATCTATTCATTGAGATGATTCCAACAAGTACCCACGAGACTATATTTTTTACTCTGTATAAATCACAAACATTAGTCAAAGTAGGACAAATGAATAGTGTAAAAAATAGAAATGAAGCAAGTATTTAAAAACGGAGGGAGTTCGTGCATGAGAGAGTGAGGGATAGCTCAAGTGGTTAGAGCTTCCCTTCCGGTTCCAGGAGATCCTGGGATCGATTCTCACCCCCGCCCTTGTGGCTCTCTAAACACCAAAAAAAAAAACTATGTACAAGAAAGGAAGGTCATTTGGCCTCAAAATAAAAATACGTAGGATTTAATTTATTAGTATTATATTTAAAATTCTAGGATAAATTGATAAGTTTTAGTTGTAATGTGAAAGCTTTCAACATCTAAATTTTAAAATTGTTAAATATGATAGCTCTAAAAAAAACACACACACACATTATACTTGCATTTAGGATAATGTTTTTATTAAAGAAGTGCATGTAGACACTAGACAGTGGTAACGTCATCATACTTTGTCTTAGTAATATTAAATAGATATTATTTCATCATCAAGGGTGAGCCTAGATCGAATATTAGAAAATGAAAATATCCGAGATTCAAATATCTAATATTAAAATTTATGGATGGGATTTCCAATATTTAAAAATAATAAAATACTTCGTATAAATTTTTTATTCATTTTTTATAAAGAATTTGTATCATGGCCGAAACCTCAAGATTTTCTCAATAAAAATTGACAAAATGTTTACCATGATCCTTAATATCCTTCGAGAGTCCAATTGGGTGAATGGAACCATCCAATTTGCCTTTAAACGACAAATTTACTGGTTTACAAATTGCACCGATTTCATTAACTCAAGCATACCACGAACATTTATGACAACAAATAATGATCATATATTGTTCCAAACGGGCATTATATGACCCCAAGATATATTCCTATAATTTCAAGACTTTTTGACACCGGGCCCCGAAACCTCCAAAATTATGCACCTCAATGCAGGTCATTTGGCCTCAAAATAAAAATACGTAGGATTTAATTTATTAGTATTATATTTAAAATTCTAGGATAAATTGATAAGTTTTAGTTGTAATGTGAAAGCTTTCAACATCTAAATTTTAAAATTGTTAAATATGATAGCTCTAAAAAACACACACACACACAATAAAAATACGTAGGATTTAATTTATTAGTATTATATTTAAAGAAGTGCATGTAGACACTAGACAGTGGTAACGTCATCATACTTTGTCTTAGTAATATTAAATAGATATTATTTCATCATCAAGGGTGAGCCTAGATCGAATATTAGAAAATGAAAATATCCGAGATTCAAATATCTAATATTAAAATTTATGGATGGGATTTCCGATATTTAAAAATAATAAAATACTTCGTATAAATTTTTTATTCCGATATTTTATAAAGAATTTGTATCATGGCCGAAACCTCAAGATTAAAATTTCTCAAAAAGTGTGGATATTAGCCTTCAATTTTGGATTTTAAAAACTTTTTTTCGCTTGGAAATAAAAATTGTCGAATTGTTTACCATGGTCCCTAATTCCCTCCATGAGTCCAATTGGGTGGATGGAACTATCCAATTTTCCTTTAAACGACCAATTTACCGATATACAACTTGCACCAATTTCATTAACTCAAGCCTACCACGAACATTTATGACATATATAATGATTATATATGATTTCAAACAGCATTATATGACCCCGAGATGTATCCCTTAAATTTTCGAGGTTTTTCGACACCGGGCCTCGAAATCTCAAAAATTTCTCAAAAAGAGTGGATATTAGCCTTCAATTTTGGAATTTTTTTTTGTCTTTATTCGCCCGAAAATAAAAATTGCCGAAATATTTACCATGGTCACTAATACCCTTCGAAAATCCAATTGGCTGGTGGAACCATCCAATTTGCCTTTAAACGGCCAATTTACCAATTAACAACTTGCATCGATTTTATTAACTCAAGCCTATGACGAACATTTATGAAAACATATAATGATTATATATGGTTCCAAACGTCATTATATGACCCCGAGATGTATTCCCTAAAATCTCAAGGCATTTTGACACCGTGATCCAAAACCTCCAAAATTTCTCGAAAAGCATGGATATAAGCCTTCAATTTTAGATTTTTTGACTTTTTTTCGTCCGCAAATAAAAATTGTCAAAATTTTTACCATGGTTCCTAATACCCGCGCGGGAGTCCAATTGGGTGGGTTGAACTATCCAATTTGCCTTTAAACGACCAATTTACCGGTTTACAACTTGCACCAATTTCATTAAATCAAGCCTACCACGAACATTTAAGACAACATATAATGATCGTAAATGGTTCCAAACGACATCATATAACCCCGAAATGTATCCCCTAAAATTTAAAGGGTTTTCGACAACGGATCTCGAAACTTGCAAAATTTCTCAAAAACGTGAATCTTAGCCTTCAATTTTGGAATTTTTTTTTTATTTTTTTCGCCTAAAAAAAATATTGCCGAAATGTTTACCATGGTCCCTATTACCCTCCGGGAGTTTAATTGGGTGGGTGGAACCATCCAATTTGACGACTAATTTACCGGTTTACAAGTTACACCGATTTCATTAACTCAAGTCTACCACGAACATCTATGACAACATATGATTATCATCTATATATATATATATATGACCAAACGACATTATATGACCCCGAGTAGTATCCTCCAGAATTTCAAGACTTTTCGACATCGGGCCTCGAATCCTCCAAAATTTCTCAAAAAGCACATCCAATTTGACGACTAATTTACCGGTTTACAAGTTACACCGATTTCATTAACTCAAGTCTACCACGAACATCTATGACAACATATGATTATCATCTATATATATATATATGACCAAACGACATTATATGACCCCGAGTAGTATCCTCCAGAATTTCAAGACTTTTCGACATCGGGCCTCGAATCCTCCAAAACTTCTCAAAAAGCGTGGATATTAGCCTTCAATTTTGTAATTTTTGACTTTTTTCGCTCGTAAATAAAAATTGCCGAAATATTTACCATGACCCTTAATACCGTCTGGGAGTCCCATTGGCTGGGTGGAACCATCCAATTTGCCTTTAAACGACCAATTTACTAGTTTACAACTTGCACCGATTTAATTAACTCAAGCCAACCACGAGCATTTATGACATCAAATAATGATCATATATGGTACCAAACGGAATTACATGACCCAGAGATGTATCCCCTAGAATTTTAAGACTTTTCGACACCGATCCTCGAAACCTTCAAATTTCTCAAAAAGCGTGGATATTAGCCTTCAATTTTGGAATTTTTCGACTTTTTTTGCCCGAAAATAAAAATTGCCGAAACGTTTACCATTGTTCCTAATATCCTTCGGGAGTCCAATTGGCTTGGTGAAACCATCCAATTTGCCTTTAAACGACCAATTTACAGGTCTACAAATTGCATGGATTTCATCAACTCAAGCATACTACGAACATTTATGACAACATATAATAATCATATATGGTTCCAAACGGAATTATATGACCTCGAAATATATCCACTAAAATATCAAGACTTTTCTACACTGGTCTCTAAAACCTCCAAAAATTTTCAAAAAACGTGGATATTAGCCTTCAATTTTGGAATTTTTGTCTTTTATCGCCCGGAAATAAAAATTGCCGAAATGTTTACCATTGTCCCTAATACATTCCGGGAGTCCAATTGGATGTGTGGAACCATCCAATTTGCTGTTAAACGGCCAATTTACCGTTTTACTAGCTACACCGATTTCATTAATTCAAGCTTACCACGAACATTTATGACAACAAATAATGATCATATATGGTTCCAAACAGCATTATATGATCTCGAGATGTATCCCATAGAATTTCAAGACTTTTCTACACCGGACCCAAAACCTCTAAAATTTCTCAAAAATCGTGGATCCTTCAATTTTGGATTTTTTTTGATTTTTTTTGCCCAGAAATAAAAATTGCCGAAATGTTTACCATGGTCCTTAATACCCGACGGGAGTCCTATTGGGTGTGTGGAACCATCCAATTTGTTGTTAAACGGCCAATTTACCGGTTTACAACTTGCACCGATTTACCGGTTTACAAACGGCCAATTTAATTAACTTGCACCGAACCCGACTTGAACCGAAATTGACCCTAACTTGTTTTAACCCGTCAAAACCCAAATTTAACCCGACTTGTTACTAACCTGACCTGAATTCAGCCCGACCCGTTCCTAATCTGACCCAAAATCAACTCGACTTGTTATTGACCTGACCCAAATTCAACCCGACTTGTTATTGACCCTACCCGAATTTTAATATACCTATTACTTACCCGACTCAAAAATTCCACCCGATCTGTTACTAACCCGACTCGAAATTAACACGACTTGTTATTGAGCCGACCTAAATTCAACCCAAATTGTTTCTGACCCGATTTTAAATCACCTTAAATGTAATTTAGACCACCTTATTATTGTTGATCAAAGCATTTGTCGAGGGAGACTAAGTCGGTCCAACAAAACAAAGGAGCATCATCCTTAAATCTAAGAGTTGAATCTAATATATATATATAAAGGGGAGTTTTTTCCTGAGTTTTTAGAGAGCCACGTAGGATTTAATTTTTTCATTGCGCCACGTAGGAATATAAATTTTAGTGGTAGCCAATTAAATAAGAGATTATTAATTTCTTTTAGAATTAATTAATTCAAAGGCCACGTAAGCAAAACGAATGATATATATATATATATATATATATATATATATACACACACACACTAGTTTAGTGCCCCGTGCGATGCCCGGGTTGTTTATTGAATTTTAGAATAAATTTTTAATCTTTATAAGATTTGCTAGATTGTGAAGTATATTATTTTAACCGATTAGTATATATTAAAATAATTTATTTGAGAACTTTTGAGAATTATAATCTAATAATTTTGTTAATAGAATTATAATTGAATTTGTACATTTGAAATATTGGTATTTTATCGAAAATAAAACTAATATTATCCTAAAATTCTATCCAAATAGAATTCTAAATTAACTTTTTTTTATTTTATGAGGTCTATTTAAATCTATCCAACGTGGCGCGACACTTGGCGAAAAGTTAGAACGCCAAGTGTCGTTGTCTCGTGACCTGGCTAAAAGTTTAGCTTTATATATTAGTTATATATGATTTATGAGTGTTATATTTTTTTTAATAAAATTATAATTTAATTTGTACATATGAAATATTGGTACTTTATTGAAAATAAAACTCTAAATTAACAAATTTATCCTAAAATTCTATCCAAATTTGATTGAAAATAGAATTCTAAATCAACTTTTTCATCCTACAAATTGAATTCTATATAACTCTATCCTAGTTTTGCGCCCCGTGCGATGCCGGGGTTGTTTATGGAATTATAAAATAAATTTTTAATCTTTATACGATTTGCTAGATTGTGAAGTATATTATTTTAACCAATTAGTATATATTATAAATGTATGTTTTACGCTTTGAACTATTTCCTTTGCCTAAATAAATATTATGATACAAAAAATAATTTATTAATTTTTAAGAATTATAATCTAATAATTTTTTTAATAAAATTATAATTGAATTTGTACAATTGAAATATTGGTATTTTATCGAAAATAAAACTAATTTAATCCTAAAATTCTATTTAATTATATCCACATAGAATTCTAAATTAACTTTTTTTTTTTATCTTATGAGGTTTATTTAAATCTATCCAACGTGGCGCGGCACTTGGCGAAAAGTTAGAATGCCAAGTGTCGCTATTTCGTGACCTGGCTAAAAGTTTAGCTTTATATATATATATATATATATATATATATATATATATATATATATATATATATATATATATATATATATATATATATATATATATATATATATATATATATATATATATATATATATATATATATATATATATAGTTTTTTCCTGAGTTTTTAGAGAGCTGCGTAGGATTTAATTTTTTCATTGCGCCACGTAGGAATATAAATTTTAGTGGTAGCCAATTAAATAAGAGATTATTAATTTCTTTTAGAATTAATTAATTCAAATGCCATAGAAGCAAAATTGACGAATGATATTTTTAAGTTTAAATTAATTATATAAATATTATCTTTTGATATTAGAAATTTTATCCAAATATGTAACAAATTAGCACATAAATACAAGAAAAAAAAATTATAAAATTTCAAACAAACCGTGCATCGCACGGGCTTCATCTAGTATAGTATATATTTGTTGTATGGTCAAAGAAAATAATTATCTTCCTAAATTATAGACTATAGTTCCCTAGTATATTGTCATATACTTCGTATATTATAGTCAAAGGAAATAATTAGCTTGATAAAAATGATAATTATCTATTTATAGTTAGTTGAACCCGAATATGATCTAACTTGGAAATGAGCCGACCTGATTGTCACCTGCAAATTATTGACTTGAACCTAACCCGACTTGAATCCGAGAATGACCAGACTTGGAAATGACCCAACCTGATTATAACCTGCAAATTATTGACTTGAACCGAACTCCAACTTGAATCCGAGAATGACCCGACTTGATTATAACCCGTAAATTATTGACTTGAACCGAACTCGACTCAAACCCGAGAATGACCCGACCTGATTCTAACCCGCAAATTATTGACTTGAACCGAACCCGACTCAAACCCGAGAATGACCCGACCTGATTCTAATCCGCAAATTATTGATTTGAACCGAACCCGACTCGAACCCGGGAATTACCCTAACCCGTTTTAACCCATGAATACCCGAATTAAACCCGACCTATTGTTCACCCGACCCAAATGTAACCCGACCTTAACCCGACCCAAACCCGATAAGAAGTATGACTCGACGTGACCTGACTCAAGCATGACCCAACCCAAACCTGCCCCGCATAGGTTATGGAATTAATCCGAATTGACCCAACTTGAATTGACCCGACCCAATTCGACCCGTTTACACGAATCGACAACTCTAATCATTATTAAGACTTTTGGACTTATGGATCAAAAAACCGTAATCCGATACTAAATATTCAAAAATTGATATCTAAATAGGTATCCAATATCCGAAATTAACATCGGATCTTCAAATAGTTTTGCTCAACCCTATAACAACTTGTATATCATTTTCCTTGATTAGTTTTCTTTGACAAATTATCATTTTGATTATTTTCGCTAATATTCCCTTTTAAAAAATTTCTCCTCCAGAAAAAGGGGGCGGGCCGTAGGGGAGTATATGACCCATAGCCGTCTACTAGAGTACCAGGACAATAGATGCCTAAACATATCAATTATCAACACAATATAGATAAGCCTAAACATATTACCTTACCGACTTGTTAGGAAGCGGTTATATTTTAACATATCAAAATACGTAGTATTATTTCATGTTGATTGAACTCTCTTTAACTTATCTATTCTAAGTGTTGCTCTCATATATCCATCTAAAAAAGTTGGGACATTATTACTTAATAGATCATTCTTATTTTATTTTTGAAATTAAACTGCATAATGAGTCTTCAAGAAATTACTGAGAAGTGACAATATATATATATATATATAAGCCTTTCAATTTTCTGATCTAGCATAGAAATGTCTTAGACTGGATCATCTAGCCTATTCCTAAAAATTGGCACATCAGTCATCACTCTAAAAGGTTTTACAAAAATTAGAACAGGTCATAATAATCCTCATCAGTTTGTGAAACAATGTCAATACTCAGCTACTCTAAAGTCTCTAAGGTCGTTTTTCAAAAAATACTTCCTGTTGTTTCTTCCTCAGTAAACAGACGAAAAAGAGTGTTTTCTTCATCATCATGCCTTTTACTTTTATTGTCATTTACCTGAGATACGAATGCATCTGATTCTGATGAAGCATTCTTCTTAACAGATATGAACGCCACTCTCTTGTTCAATACAGAATCAGGCATAGATGAGCTTGGAATTAGGGAAGTTACTGAGTCAGGAAGAGAACTGCCTTTCACCAGGGTGCTTTCTGTCAGTTGTAACTCGTTTTCTGAACCGTGTTCTAGTACTGAATGCAATTGAATCTGCTCAGCATTGTCAATGTTATCATTGGAGATGGGTGAGGGTGATTCAACTCTTTTTCTCTTTAAGAGACACTCTTCACTAACCTTTTCATCAGCCTTCTCAGAATTAAATTCATCATCTTAAACAAGCAGAAAGAAAAAGAGGATCAAAATATCATTGCTGCCAAATCTTAGGTTGAAAGTGAAACAATAACTTTGTACTTGAATCAAAATAAACAACTTTTGGGCTAATGAGGGGCACAGAGCCACAGACCCAAACAAAAATAGGGACACTCTAACGACTATCGGACTATGCGTGGCCAAGCACTCAAACAGAGAAAATTGTAATCTCTTAACAATCTGGAAAAAGATAATTTCCCTTGAAATATAGTTTCAGTAAAAAAAATGATTCCACTTCAGGGGGAAAGGATTGGGGGGGGGGGGGGTGGACACCAGCATGTTACGGCGTTAAAGAGTGGAAGATCCAGTTAAGGGAGAGGGAATGGGGTGGACACCAACACGTTAAGGCCTCAAAGAGTGGCAATTGTATTAGAGTAGCATGTTGGATATCAGAAAATGGAATATTGCAGAGGCCGAGGGCGGGGTGGAATATTACCTTGAAGAAAAGCATTAATACTTTGATACTTTATAGATGTTCCCAGAGTTTGTACTGTTTCTGAGCTCCCACCTTGATGTAATATATTGCCTTTACCAGATTTTTCTACCAATACAAATTTATCAGTTTTCCAGACACATTCTAAGACGATAACTTCCTCCTCCAATGTGGGATAATACTCTCGGAAAACCTGATTCAATTATCATTGAGTTGAATTTAGGCAAAAGGTTTGCAACAATATTAGAAAATGGAAGGAAAAAAAAACTGTGATAACTGTTACCTCCATTCCATTGTGAGTTATTTTTATGGACTGTTTATTCTGAGCAAGAGAAGAGACTTCGTTGAACACAGAAACAACATCCAGTAGCATCTGCATTGAGTAGAAAAATCAATAATACTACGATTTTTTACTTTTGCAAGAGTAAATTTAAATTGTTAAGTACAACTAAAACCTATATCCAAACCGCCAACAAATTTATTCTTCCTCCACCCTCATAACAGCTCATCTACTTAGCATAGTAACTTACTCAATTATTTAGACTATTTTGATCAACCAGCCAATAGCCAAGACACTAGGAAATCCCCACAAGCAAGCACCAGTTAGCTAGCAAAGCAGAGCTGAACTAGTTGTACAAAAGCAGTACTTGCCTGGAAACAAAGTGTCATCTGTTCCCTTTCAGAGACTCCACACACCTAATGTTCACACGACAATACAAGTGCATCCCCAACCTAGGAACTTGTAATTTTGAAGGATAACAAATAATACTAAAACAATAGGTAATTTATATAAATCAGTGATTAGAACCTATATCATCTACAGCACTTTTTGTAAGGGGGAGTAGAATAAGAGCTTATAGCATTTCATTGATGACGATGACACACAACTCAGTGTAAATCTCACAGCTGGTGTAGTTAGCATAGAGGGGGTTAAGATATATACTCAACCTTACCCCTAAGTAGTTGCAGGTTTCTCAAGTAGATTCTTAAACTTAATGTTCATACTACCATCTGAGTGCTTCTTGGTGAGATGATCAAAAATTCAAAATATCTGCAAATTCCACATATATTAACAAAAACAGTATACTTCATATATAATGAAATATAATTTCAATCTTTTGCCTCACAAGCTCAACTATTAAGTAATCCAGATTTTCTTTTTCCACAAAAACCATGTTTTTCTTATATCATTGAAAAATGAGAAAAATACATGAAATTTGAAGTCTTTTATCAGGAAGAAAAATGTTGAAAGACATCTGGTTACAAGTCACACAGCCTTCTGCTCTCTTAAAAATATTACAAATACTATAAAATCCAGCAATCAACTATAACAAACCTTTTTTTTTTTTTAATGTTTAAGCAAATCACTAGTTGCTAGTTGGCTAATACATATTAAGACAAGCTTCAGCAGAAATATTAAAAATTATTAAAAGCACAATAAATCAGTCTTACCTGCTGAATCAAAACTCTGAGGTGAGCCAGCAGAGCAAGAATCATTACAGAGAACCCCATGAAAAATGAACGAGCGAGCAAAGTAGATATATCACTGTAAGAAGGTCAAGGAACGACGGAAGTTTCCAAAAAAAGATATTAAAAAAACAGTTATAAATTGTGTGAATCATATAGCAACAAGATCCTACTAAAACAGGAAAAATGAACAAACGAGTGAATCTCTGGAATCTAGATGTGAGCTGACAAGATCTAATGGATAATTTGATATTGCATCTAAGTAAATCACAAAGGATACGTAGCTGCCTTCAGTATAGGCTCGACCATCTGCAGCAGCAAAATTTACTACAGTATAAGAATAAGTCATCAGCAAGTAATCCTTAAATAGCTGTCAGCTATAGAGCAATTTCTTCAACATCAAAGATTCATTGAAGTTCAAAAACACCTCCCTCCACCCCCAAGTCCCCAACACACACCCACAAGTCCACAACCCACACCCAAAAAAAAAAAAAAAAAAAAAAAAAAAAAAAAAAAAAAGAGGAGATTTTGCTTGAGAAGAAGCAGTGAAGCATCTTACAAGACATGATAACACTAGGAAACATAATATTTCGCACCTCAGATAGCAATCGTGCTGCCCCATGAAGACGTTCCATGAAATTAAATTTTACACCGTCGCATTTCCTCCTTTTCAAACTGTCAAACAAAGAATTGAACAAGTAGATGTCATACACCAAATGGCTATCTATACTAACTAATTTTCTTTCTCAGCCTTAGACACATTAATTTTTAATGACTTAGTATGTACACTCAGTTTTCTCTTAAGATGATCATAGCAAATTTGCAAGAATGACATAGACTCTAAAAGCACAAGGAAAGAAAATCCAAATACCCGGATATATGATATTTAACATGGTGTAGAAACTAATAAAACATATTATTTGCAATTTCCCTAATTTAACTCTCTCAAAAGTCAAACCTAATTTCTTTATGTAGACATGACCCTCTCCATGAACCATGAGGCATCTTTGTCTACTTCCCCACCCTCTGAAGTCGAACAAAACAATTCATTCTATAGAGGATTATGCATACTTCCAATATTAGATATATGGAGACATTAAACTCGGAAAAAAGCAAGAAAAGATTTGTCAATTCTTTAATATTGGATTCGATAGGCAAAATTATTCGCAGTTCCTTACCTTTCAAGAAGGTTTGCCTTTTGTTTAGCTTTTCTTCCAGTAATAACATAGAAACATGAATCTAAAAGCTCCTCCAACTGAGCTGAATGTAAAAGTTTTAGGTCCCTCCTTACCTAGCAACACAAAGCGAATCAGTGGAATGCGATACCTTAGACTGCGAAAGTCCAGCAATCGAACAACAATAATAATAAGTTAATAACAGAAAAGTAAAAAAATCAGTAAAATAAAAAATTTAGTAGTATGTGCAAATTACAAATACATTTAGTAATCACAGCAACACATTTAGAAGATCAACCTTCAATAGGTACTGAAAATACGAGCATCGCCGATGCTGATTCTTGTTCTTATAAATGATCCGGTCAAGAATTCCGGATTCTGCTTGCAATTGACACAGGAAAGACTTCACTCTGTCTTCAACTTGTGCAGCCATTAGAGCTCTACACCATCAATTTTCAATAAATTAACCTAAAAATTACCAAAAAGGATTATTGATTATACATACACTAATACCTAACCGAAGTAATTGGACTATTGGAGTGTATAACGGTATAAACTAATTGAAATAACAATTTGATTTCTTCTGCAAAGTAATTGTTGAAATCCTAATATCTCGAAAAGGCTGTAATCTTTAATGTACAAATTGAATTGACAGAAACTAGTATGAAGATAATCTAATTATGAATTGAGAAATTAGCAGTTGCAAAAGAAGTTTACCTTTGGAATATTGAAGAAGCAGATGATTAACCTAGGCGAGCAACAAAGAGAATAAGCGGTAAAGAAGCAACTCGCCGACGACGGCAGGCGCGGCGGTAAAAAGAAAACTCCGGCGACCAATGGCAGTTCCGGTTAGTGAGTGACGGTGGTAACGGCGGCTGGGGTTTCTGTGGTCCGGTGTTAGAGGAGAGAGAAAAAAAAGTGAAAATGGAAGTTTTATTATTAATTCATTTTAAATTGAAAAGATCTTTTTATTTTTAATAAATTGTAGTAGGAGCTGCTGCCTTGCGCTATGGACCGCAAGTGGTGCGCTTTGGCTATGCAAATGAATGGGTGTAGACCGGAGAGTGATGCTCTCGGAGTCTCGGTGTTGTTAAAGCGGTTTATAATGCCGGTGACGGTCGAGTTCTAGTCTTCCTACTTCCTAGTGTACAATGATATTAGATGTTTATATTGTTATTTCAATTTTATTTGCGGAGTATATTTCTCATGTTAAGAGAGCAGGTAATACTGTTGCCACCTCATGTCTACTTGAAATACAAAATTACAAATAATTGCTCGTTGTTAGTTTGTATGAACTTCTTCCCTCAAAATGTTCTCACTTTGATGAATTTTGATTTACTATTTGGTGAATTACAATTTACAAAAGTAAAGCAAACTAACTTTTCCTCAAAAACAAAAAAAAAGTTAGTTTTAATGAAAGTGTTAGCAAAAAAAAATCAAATAAAAGTCAAATTTGACAAATAGTAAGAGTTTTAGGTCTACTAATGTCTATCGAAAATCATGTAAGTTTTTGGCTACCAGTGATAAAAAGTGAAAATATACGCATACCAAATAAAATTTCCCAATGTTAATCCATACTTTGAATTTCCTCAATTTCTAATAATAGCATTCATTTTCAACCATTTGATTTTTACATTATATATACTCTGTATATACTTATTGGATTATATTTGTTTTTACTCTTTTTAGGGAAATTATAATTTGTGTTTTATACATTTTTCTTATGTAACCCTAGCAACACAAGCAAAGAACAAATAGCCAAAGAGAACGTTAAATATAATTTCTAAGGTCGGTATAAAATCATTTGATGCATAACACTCTTTTATAATGTCCCATGTATATATTTTTATAGCCTTTTGCCTATATAATGTGGAGGAGAATGCAGTCTTATTTGTTTAATAGGTTTTTTTTGCAAGATTTTTCAAATTAATTGAACATCACAATGTTACTAATATACAAATTTGGGGGTTTTTTTTTCCGAATGAGAAATCAATGAAATTTATCATTGTTTGTTTATGTACATTGGGCGTGTTAGGCAAAATATAGCTATAAAGGTAGTTGCCAGTTGTGTAGGAAGCTTTTAGTTGTCAACAAGTTGTTAGCTGTGAAGATAGATAATTTAGGTATGAGTGTTCGGTAAAGTAGTGGTTGACGAGCTGTTACATTTGAAAATCAATATTTTATACTACCTCCGTTTCTTTTAAGTTGACACGTTTTGACTTTAGCATTATTCATCCACCTCCCTTGGACCGTATTTTGTGCTTTATACGTAATGAAAAATATAGTCATGTGGGATCTTGTTAGATTCGTAGCGTTATATACTTTCAAAATATCAACTTTTTAAAATTTTTGCTTATCAAGACACCTACGTTACACTAACAGGGGCGCGCTTTAATTAAAGATATTATTGATTGAATAAGTGCATTGACAAACGTGACTAAAGAAACGTGCCAACTAAAAAGAAACGAGGAAGTATTTAATACTATAGATTAAATTAACATTTTTTTGTTAAGTAGTGAATTTACCAAGTCAAACCACTAAGGGCTTGTTCCGATTGACTGAACTGAATTGAACTGAACTGAACTGAACTGAACTGAACTTATTGATTAGTGATTATTAACTACGGATTAGTGATCTTTGATTATTTATTGATTATTTATTACTATACATATGTGTATATACAAATGTACATATTATTATTATTATTATTATTATTAATTATTGATTATCATTATTATTATTATTTTTATTATTATTATTATTTATTGATTATTATTATTAGTATTATTATTATTGTTGTTATTATTATTATTATTTATTGATTATTATTATTAGTATTATTATTTCAATTATTATTGTTGTTATTATTATTATTTATTGATGATTATTATTATTATTATTTATTACTTATTGATTATTATTATTATTATTATTATTATTGTTGTTGTTGTTGTTGTCGTCGTCGTCGTTGTTGTAATAAGAGCTTAAAAGAATGAAACTTGGTTTTATATCATTAGCAGTATCATTAGACGTAAATTAAGAGCTGAACTGAACTGAATTTCAACGGAAGAGAACAGACCCTAAAAGCCACCTAAAACCTACTCAAATGCTGGCACTAAACACGCTCTAAATTTAAAATTTAAGTTTTGACCAAAACCACCATATTACTTTTTTTTAAAAAAAACAACAAAATAACCCTATTGATCAAAATTTTAAACACCTGACTTGACTACTTGACACCTCTATTCAAACATCAAACTTACCAACCGGAGCCATTAACAGTAGAACTAGAACACCTTGTCAAGAAGAGAGGAACAATGATATGAAAGTATGATCCTTCTTTAGTCTCTACCCTCTTAGATTTTGATTTTCATACCAAACTCACAGAGATAAACTCGGAATGAAGATAACATGTACACCTTCTGCTGCTTCTTCTTCTTCCTTCTTTCATGGCGGTAAAGGTAATTATGCCCTTCTTCCTCTTCTTTCTTTCTGCTATTCATCTTTTCAATTTCATTCCCGATGTTTTTCCTCTTTTCAAACTTTTTCTGCTACTGAAAACCGTCATTTGATTATCAATTCTGCTAAACATCACTGCAAATTAGGGTTTTCCGATCTTAAATTTCCACTCTCTCTCTTCCATCAATTGACTTCTTTACGTCCTCTTCCTTCTCTCATCGTTTTCACTCAGCTTTTCACTGCCATTTCCAAATTGAAACACCTTTATCCTCATTCCACCATTATTTCTCTTTCCAGGCACATTGAATTACTGGGTATTCCACCTGATTTGCATTCGTTGAATATTCTTCCCAATTGCTACTGTCATTTAGGCCGCGTCGATTTCGGGTTTTCTCTCATGGCTAAATCCCTTAAACTTGGTTTTCCCCCTAATCATTATACCTTTTGCACTTTAATTAATGGTTATATCATTAATGATAAGCTACCTCAAGCTGCTCAATTGTTGAATAAGATTGTTAAGCTTGGGTTTCAACCCAATATTGTTACCTATGGTGCTATTTTCAAAGGACTCTGTAGAATCGGCGACAATGACAGTGCTCTCACTTTGTTTAACAAAATGCGTTCTGCTGCTCATTGTAAGCCTGACCTTGTCATATATAGTACTATCATCGATAGTCTCTGTAAGGACAGTTTATTACAACAAGCTATGAACCTCTTCTCCAGTATGAAAACCGAGGGCATTCAACCTGATGTTGTCACTTATACCTCCTTGATTCGAGGCTTCTACAATTCTGGATGCCGGGTAGAGGCTAAGGGTTTGTTGACTAAGATGTTAGAGAGCAACATAGCACCAGATGTTAAGACCTATAGCATGCTGGTTGACATGTTCTGTAAAGATGGGCATGTTGTGGAAGCAGAAGCCATACTGCAGCGCATGACTGACAAAGGTGTATCGCCAGACATCATTACTTACAATGCTTTACTTGATGGCTATTGTTTGCGTGGTCAGATGGAAGATGCTGAGAAGGTACTTGATAGCATGGCCCAAAATGGTTGTGAGCTTGATCTTGTAAGTTTGAATACTATGATCAATGGATATGTCAAACTCAAAAACATTGACAAAGCTCTTACTGTATTAGAAAACATGTTTCAGAAAGAGATAACACCAAATGTTGTTAGCTATAGCACTCTTATTGATGACTTGTCTAAAGCCAATAGATTTACACTTGCACACCAGTTTTTCACCGATATGCAAGCTCACGGAATTACTCCTAATGTTGTTACATATAGTTCATTGCTTGATGGCCTATGTAAAAGGGAACAACTTGATGAGGCAATTGCATTACTTGAAGATATGGATGATAAAGGTATTAAGCCTAATACTGTCACTTACAATATCCTAATTAACAGCTTGTGTGAGGCCGGGAAATTAAGAGATGCAGCAAAAATCTTCTCTGATCTTGTGTCAAAGGGCCTGCAACCGGATTGTAAAACATACACTACCATGATTAAAGGCTTCTGCAAGAAAGGGCTCATGAGTGAAGCTGCTCAGTTGTTAAGCAAAATGGAGGAAGATGGTAGCTTTTCCAATGGTTGTACTTATAATACAATCATCCGGGGATATATTTACAATAATGACTTGTCAAATGCATTATACTATCGCGACATTATGGTGAGCAAAGGATTTGAAGCTGATGCTGAAACTTTTTCGTTGTTTGTTAGCCTTTTGCCTTCTGGTAACTTAAATGACTCATCAAAGGACCTGCTCCAAAAACTTACAACTTAACTTAAGGCTAGCTGTTCTTCTTTAGGTATCTTATTTATCTTTCTATCACATAATATTGTGACAAGCAGTTATAGTCCAATTTTCTTATTATTTCTCAAGTTACTTTATACATAAGAATCTATTAGATATTAGAGTTATGTTTGAATGTGTTTTTATATTTGTATTTCTTATACTTATTGAAGTTGCATTATGACTAGCAAAAGAAGTGGATTTTCAACGTAAATAAAGAGGGTATGGGCCTATGGCGGTATGCAAGTAACTGGGATGACCACCATTGATTTTCTTCTCTGTGTTTCAGCCTTCAGTCTGTAACCCACCCATATTGACAGTTGGGTCCATTTTATGTTCTTATGTGTGCTTGAACTGCAGAGACTGTCAAATATAATGTCTTGGGTCGTATTGACTGATAAAACTTGTAGAAAGCATGTACATTGAATCATTGATGACAAACACAGAACATATTGTCACTCTATCTGAAAAACTAGAAATCCTGATTCGAGTAAATGAAGATGCAGTGGCTGAGCATCATAAGATTGTTGAATTTACCAGTCTTTGGAACACAATATCCACAAATTAATTAGATTGTATATGCACATTATTCTGATGTGTCTATTGTCCCATTATGCTCCTCTCTTTTGAAAAGTGTTAAGAGGCCTTGGAGCAATACCCACTCTAAATTCTTAGTATAGCATTTCCTCCCTTCCAATGCTGACTTTCAGTAGATTTGTCAGCCAAGAGAAGAGTTGATTGCTGGAATATTTGAGGTTGCTGGATATGCCATGGTATTGATGCTCACTTATATTGTATGATCTATTTTTGGGTTTCGTTTTTTTTACTCTTGGCTTGCATTCTCTAGCTCATCAGTTTTCTTATACCATGTATTTCCTTGTGGTGGATATCTGAGAAAACTTGAATTGTTTGAACATAACATCAATAGAGTTTTATATGACTGTGGGATATGAGTTAGGAGTTTTATGATTAAGGGATATGAGAAAGTATCTGCCAGTCTAGAAGGATAGATGGGGTTTTTAGATGTTGGAATTTCAGTCGTTACTGCACTTAAAATTTCGGTCATTAACTGCACTTGAAATTTCAGGAAAAAAGGGTAAAGTATCAGATTGCAGGGTAATTTGGAAGATGTCATCAAAACAAAGAGATGGTAGCTATTTCTTGACTTTAAGCCCACGTCCAAACTCCAAACCTATGGGAGACTTTAGCAGTAGGTGAAGTTACAAATTTCCCATAAACTTATTTATTTATATTTTGGATTTGTGGGTACCATTTTTTTAGTTTTCGAATTTAAGAATTGATGCTTGGTTGAATACTACTCTTGTATCTTTTGGTTAATTTATGCTCTGCTTTCCAATTTATGTTTCTGTTTCTGTTTTCTATGTTCATTAAAGCCTGATGTGAGCTTGTTGACTCATCTTTTGTTTTGGAAGTTTTATTTGCGTGGTAATTTTTTTTTTATAGAAAAAAGAAGATAGCATCTACTATAGGAGCATTGAGTATCTGCCTATCTCACCCTTTTTTATTTTTGGACAGTAGACTTAAACTACAGGATAAGTGAGTAACAGATGATAGGATGCGATAGTTATTTTAATTTTGGTCTTCTGCAGTTGGAAATCTGATAATATAGATTGAGAACATCAAGTTTCAGAGACTTTTTAAATTGATACAGATCAAATCTATTGCCGGGCTGTCCATAAGTTGTCATCTTTCTGTCGTTCTGTTGCATAAGTGGGTATTTTGTAGTACTTAATGGACATGTATTTTTCCTAACTCTATTTTGTATCATGCTTCATGCTCATTCCCCTCTGTCAATGGATGACCTGCTAAATAAGTTCATGAAATGACTTGAAAAAAAGATGACGTTAACCATGGTTTATTTTTGGATCTGAATTCTGCTTTCAATGTATCGACTGTTGTCATGAATCTCCTTATTTGTGATTTGAAATTCCTGAAATGATATTGCAGTCCACAGATGACTAATACTCTGGCTTGCAATGCTGTTGCTTTATTTATTGTTAATTTTGAACTCCTGTCCATGAAGTTTTGGTACTTGGCAGATTGCATTTTATTTTGTGACTTGTATATCTGGTCCAAGCTCCCTAGGTTATTTGTTTTGTCATTCTATTATGTTGGATGAATTTTTTGGTGAGTGCTTGTGTATGTTTTTGTACCAAATGCTTCGTATTAATGTGATTTTTCATAACCCTTTCAAAAAAAAAAATGTGATTTTTCATAACAAGTGCCTGTAAAACTTAGTTCACAGGCTGGTTGTTGACTTGTTTCGCTATACATCAACCTCTATAGCTCTATCAAACAAAAGGAATCTGAAGAGAAAACATGCATAACCCATTCACCATCATATATAAGTGGGAAACCTGTTCATTCAAACTCTTCTTCCCTTAAACTTCTATCTTAAATTTGTACTGTATTTTTTACTTGCTAGTTGCTATAGTATAACGATATATAAGAATGGTAACTAACCCTTGAGATGTAGTATCACAATGTTACTCTAATACTCCGCATTAGAAGCGAAATAATCTTTGATTTGACTTGTTTTCTCTTTTTTTTTACCCCCTTACTCAACCATTATATCTAGGAGGAAGCTTGGGGAAGAGAGATTTTAAAGTTCACGGTTGTTTTTTTTTTTTTTGGTTCTTTTCGATCTTCCTGTAATAGTACCTAGTGCGTGTAGGTTGTTAAGTGTTCTTGTTTTAGTTAGTATTAGGTTGTAATTCTGTCTTTCTTTAATAGTATATTTTGTCAAAAAAAAAAAAAAAAGTTCACGATTGTGAAATTTGTGATGATGCTGAATCCCTTGAAGATAACGCCTCATTGCCAGCGGAGTGTCTTTCCATTCCTTGTTGCAACCATCACAACCATCATCTTCCACTAGTAAAAAACCAAAAACCCTATCTTTCGAAAGAGATCGAAAGTCCTTTTCTTTCAAGGGCGATATTATTTGAACACAAAAAAAAAAAAAAAAAAAAAAAAAAAAAAAAAAAAAAAAAATCTGAAATCCGAAAAAAGTCCCTCTAAAATTAACCATGAAAGCTACAGTTTCATAATATATTTTTTAAAACATATTTAAATATAATAATAATAATAATAATAATAATAATAAACTAATTATTATTATTATAAACTAATAAAGGTCTCTCACTCTCTACTAACATGATGACCCATTAAGTAGCTAGATGGAATACAAGCGAAAACTCAAAGCTTGTTTGTATGGACATTTTCCCCAAATCATTAACGCTTTGGCTAAAAATGATTTGATTTAATGCCGGCCTAACGTTTTTTCTAAAAGAAAAAAAAATTGAAAGTTAAGAAACCACGCAATTATTGTTTTAAAGATATTTATGCATATAAATCATATTCTAGCGGTAGCACTCTACATTTTTGTTAGATAGCAGTACTATATTCTCACAAAGTCAAACTTACTTCGTATTCGTTTTTCCTTCATAGGATTATACAGGAAATTTCAGCAGCTTCTTTGGAGAAGATGAAGATTAAAGCTCTGTCTTTTAATGGCGGTACTTCTATCGTCATTTTCAATCAGTTATTCACTTCCATTTCCAAATTGAAACGCCTTCATCCTCATTCCACCATTATTTCTCTTTCCAGTCACCTTCAATTACTTGGTATTCAATTTGAGAGGCATTCCTTTGGTATTCTTGCTAATTGCTACTGTCATTTAGGCCGCGTTGATTTCGGGTTTTCTATAATGGCTAAATCCCTTAAACTTGGTTATCCCCCAAATGATTATATCATTAATGATAAGCTCCCTCAAGCTGATCAATTGTTGAATAAGATTGTTAAGCTTGGCTTCCAACCCGATGTAGCTACATATGGTGCTATTTTCAAAGGCCTTTGTAGAATTGGTGACAATGCCAGTGCTCTCACTTTGCTTGCCAAAATGCAGTCTGCTTCTCATTGTAAGCCTGGTCTTGTTATATATAACACTATTATTGATAGTCTATGTAAGGACAGGCTATTACAACAAGCTATGGACTTGTTCTCCGCTATGAAAGCCGAGGGCATTCAACCTGGCGTAGTCACCTATAATACTTTGATTCGAGGCCACTACAATTCTGGATGCAGGGAAGAGGCTAAGGATTTGTTGACTGAGATGTTAAAGACCAACATATCACCTAATGTTGCAACCTACAGCATGCTTGTTGACATGTTTTGTAAAGATGGTAATGTTGAGGAAGCACAAGCCACAATGCAGCTCATGACTCACAAAGGTGTAGCTCCTGACATCATTACTTACAATGCCTTACTTGATGGTTATTGTTTGCGTGGTCAGATGAGAGATGCAAAAAAGATACTTGATATCATGGCCCAAAAAGGTTGTGAGCCTGATCTAGTAAGTTTTAGTACTATGATCAATGGATATGTCAAGCTCAAAAACGTTGACAAGGCTCTTACTGTATTACAAAATATGTTTCAGAAAGGGATAACACCGACCGTTGTAACCTATTGCACTCTTATTGTTGGCTTGTGTAAAGCCAATAGACTTACACTTGCACGCCAGTTGTTCACAGATATGCAAGTTCACGGAGTTACTCCTGATGTTGTCACGTACAGTTCATTGCTTGATGGCCTATGTAAAAGTAAACAGCTTGATGAGGCAGTGGCATTACTCGAAGATATGGAAGATAAAGGTATTAAGCCTGATACTGTCACTTACAACATCCTTATGGACAGCTTGTGTGAGGCTGGACAATCAAAAGATGCAGCGAAATTCTTCTCTGATCTTGTATCCAAGGGTCTGCAACCTAATTGTAGAACATACACTATAATGATTAAAGGCTTATGCAAGGAAGGGCTCATGAGTGAAGCTGCTCAAGTACTAAGCAAGATGGAGGAAGATGGTAGCTTTCCCAATGGTTGTACTTATAATACAATCATCCGGGGATATATTCACAATAATGACATGTCAAATGCATTTTACTATCGCGACATTATGCTGAGCAAAGGATTTGAAGCTGATGCTGAAACTTTTTTCGTTGTTTGTTAGCCTTTTGCCTTCCGGTAACTTAAGTGACTCATGAAAGGACCTACTTCAAAAACTTACAAATTAACTTAAAGCTGGCTGTTCTTTAGGTTTCTTATTTATATTTCTATCACTTTTTGAAGTATTGTACTAATGAAGCTAGGAACTCTTCTATATAATTCCTGTACCTGTTTGTAGCCTTGAGCTCAAATATGAAATTTCCTCAAAAAGCATGGACTATAGCCTTCAATTTTATAATTTTTTGACCTTCTCTCGTCCGAAACTAAAAATTTCCATGATATTTACCATGATTCCTAATACACTCCGGGAGTACAATTGAGTCGGTGGAACCATCCATTATCCCCTTAAACGGTCATTTTACCCGTTCACAACTTAAAGTGATTTCGTAAACTCAAGCCAACCACGGATGTTTATGACAACATATGATGATCATATATGATTTTAAATGACATTATATAACCCCGAGATGTATCCCTTAGGGTTTCAAGTTTTTTCGCCGAAACCTAGAATTTTCCTCAAAAAGCGTGGATTTAGCTTTCAATTTTGTAATTTTTTGACTTTTTTTCGCCCGAAAATAAAAATTGTCGAAATATTTACCATGGTCCCTAATATTCTGCAAGAGTCAAATTGGGTCGGTGAATATGCCCTTAAACGGTAATTTTACCCGTTCACAACTTGCAACTTGCAGTGATTTCATAAACTTAAGCCTACCACGGACGTTTATGAAATTATGAAAACATATAATGATCATATATTGTTTCAAACGACATTATATAACCCCGAGATGTGTCTCTTAGGGTTTCAAGGTTTTTCGCCACCGGACCCTTAAACTTCAAAATTTCCTAAAAAAGCATGGATTATAGCCTTCAATTTTGTATTTCTTGACCTTTTTTCTCTCGGAAATAAAAATTGCCGAGATGCTTACCATGATCCCTAATATTCTCCGGGAGTCAAATTGGGTCGATGGAACCGTCCAATATGCCCTTAAAAGGTCATTTTACCTGTTCACAACTTGAAGTGATTTTGTAAACTCAAGCGTGACACGTATGTTTATGGCAACATATAATGATCATATAGGGTTTCAAACAGCATTATATGACACCGTGATATATTCCTTAGGGTCTCAACACTTTTCGTCACCGGACCCCAAAACTTCAAAATTTCCTAAAAAACCGTGGATATTGTAATTTTTTGACTTTTTTCGCCCAGAAATTTAAATTGCTGACATGATTACCATCGTTCCTAATACCCTCCAAGAGTCAAATTCGGTCGGTGGAGCCAACAAATATGCCCTTAAAAGGTCATTTTACGCGTTTGCAAGTTGCACTGATTTAGTAAACACAAGCCTATCACGGACGTTTATGACAACATTTAATGATTATATATAGTTTCAAACGACATTATATGACCTCGAGATGTATTCATTAGGGTTACAAGGGTTTTTGCCACAGGCCCCTAAACCTCAAAATTTCCTAAGAAATGTGTGGATTATAGCCTTCAATTTTGTAATTTTTTTGACTTTTCTTAGCCTGGAAATAAAAATTGCTAAGATGATTACCATCGTCCCTAATACCCTCCAAGAGTCCAATTGGGTCGGTGGAACCAACCAATATGCCCTTAAGCGGTCAATTTACGCGTTCGCAACTTAAACTGATTTTGTAAACTCAAGCCTACCACGGACGTTATGACAACATTTAATGATTATATATGGTTTCAAACGACATTATATGACCTCGAGATGTATCCCTTAGGGTTTCAAGACTTTTTGCCACCAGACCCCGAAACCTCAAAATTCCTCAAAAAGCCTTTAATTTTGTATTTTTTTGACCTTTTTTTGCCGAAAATAAAAATTGCCGATATGTTTACCAAGGTCCCTAATATTATCCGGGAGTCAAATTGAGTCGGTGGAACCGTCCAATATGCCCTTAAACGGTCATTTTACCTGTTCACAACTTGTAATGATTTCGTAAACTCAATCCTACCACGGACATTATGACAACATTTAATGATTATATATGGTTTCAAACGACATTATATGACCCGACATGTATCCGTTAGGGTTTCAAGTCTTTTCGCCACTGGGCCCCGAAACTTCAAAAATCTTCAAAAAAAAACGTGAATTAATAGCCTTCAATTTTGTTTTTTTTTTTTACCTTTTTCCCCTGGATATAAAAATTGCCGAAATATTAACCATGGTCCTTTATACCCTCCAAGAGTCCAATTGGGTCGGTGGAACCATCCAATATGTCGTTAAACTGTCATTTTACCCGTTCACAACTTGAATTGATTTCGTAAACTCAGTCCTACCACGTACGTTTATGACAACATATAATGATCATATACGGTTTCAAACGGAATTATATGACCCCGAGATATATCCCTTAGGGTCTCAAGGCTTTTCGCCACTGGGTCTCGAAACTTCAAAATTCCTTAAAAAGCGTTAATTATAGCCTTCAATTTGGTAATTTTTTTTACCATTTTTCTTCCTGAAATAAAAATTGTCAAAGTGTTTATTATGGTCCCTAATATCTTCCGGGAGTCAAATTGGATTGGTGGAACCGTCCAATATGCCCTTAAACGGTCATTTTACCCGTTCAAACTTGTAGTGATTTCATAAACTCAAGCCTACTACGGACGTTTATGAAAACATATAATGATCATATATTGTTTCAGACGGCATTATATAACCCCGAGATGTGTCCCTTAGGGTTTCAAGGCTTTTCGCCAAACTTCAAAATTTCCTAAAAAGCGTGGATTATAGCCTTCAATTTTGTAATTTTTTGACTTTTTTTTTTCTCGGAATAAAAATTGTCGAGATGCTTACCATGGTCCCTAATATATCCTCCGAGAGTCAAATCGGGTCGTTGGACCCGTCCAATATGCCCTTAAACGATCATTTTACCCGTTCACAACTTGAAGTGATTTTGTAAACTCAAGCATATCACGTACGTTTATGACAACATATAATGATCATGTAGGGTTCCAAACAACATTATATGACACAGAGATATATTCCTTATAGTCTCAACACTTTTCACCACCGGACCCCAAAGCCTTCAATATTGATTTTTTGACTATTTTTCGTCCGAAAATAAAAATTGCTAAGATCATTACCATCGTCCCTAATACCCTCCAAGAATCCAATTGGGTCGGTGGCACCAACCTATATGCCCTTAAGCGGTCATTTTATGCGTTTGCAAGTTGCACTGATTTTGTAAACTCAAGCCTACCACCGACGTTATGACAACTTTTAATGATTATATATGGTTTCAAATGGCATTATATGACCCCGAGATGTATCCCTTAGGGTTTCAAGGCTTTTCGCTACCTGGGCCCGAAACCTCAAAATTCCTCAAAAAGCGTGGATTATAGCCTTAATTTTGTATTTTTTTAACCTTTTTCCGCCCGAAAATAAAAATCGCCGATATGTTTACCAAGGTCCCTAATATCCTCTGGGAGTTAAATTGAGTCGGTGGAACCGTCCAATATGCCCTTAAACAATCATTTTACCTATTCACAACTTATAATGATTTCGTAAACTCAAGCCTATCACGGACGTTTATGACAACATATAATGATCATATATGATTTTAAATGGTATTATATGACCTCGAGATGTATCCCTTAGGGTTTCAAGGCTTTTCGCCACCGGGCCCCTGAAACCTCCAAATTCTTCAAAAAGCGTGGATTATAGCCTTCAATTTTGTATTTTTTTTGACCTTTTTTCGCCCGAATATAAAAAATGCAGAAATGTTAACCATGGTCCCTAATACCCTCCAAGAGTCCAATTGGGTCGGTGGAACCATCCAATATGCCCTTAAACGGTCATTTTACCCGTTCACAACTTGAAGTGATTTCGTAAACTCAAGCCTACCACCGACGTTTATGACAACATATAATGATCATCTATGGTTTCAAACGGAATTATATGACCCCGAGATGTATCTCTTAGGGTCTCAAGGATTTTCGCCACCGGGTTCCGAGACCTCAAAATTCCTCTAAAAGCGTTGATTATAGCCTTCAATTTTGTAATTTTTTGACCATTTTTTGTCATAAAATAAGAATTGGCAAAATGTTTATTATGATCCCTAATAACCTCCGGGAGTCAAATTGGATTTGTGGAACCGTTCAATATGCCCCTAAACGGTCATTTTACCCGTTCACAACTTGTAGTGATTTCATAATATCAAGCCCACCACGGACGTTTATGACAACATATGATGATCATATATCAAAAAGCGTTCAATTTTTTAATTTTTTGACCTTTTTTCGGCTGGAAATAAAAATTGTCGAGATGTTTACCATGGTCTCTAATATCCTCCGGGAGTCTATTTGGGTCGGTTGAATCATCCAATATGCCCTTAAATGGTCATTTTACTCGTTCACAACTTGTAGTGATTTCGTAAACTCAAGCCTACCACAGACGTTTATGACAACATATAATGATCATATATGGTTTCAAAGCGGAATTATATGACCCCGAGAAGTATCCCTTAGGGTTTCTAGGCTTTTCGTGACCGTGCCCCGAAACCTAAAAATTTCCTCAAAAAGGGTGGATTATAGGCTTCGATTTTGTAATTTTTTGACCTTTTTTGCCCTGAAATAAAAATTGCCGAGATGTTTACCATGATCCCTAATACCCTCCGAGAGTCCAATTGGCTTGGTGGAACCATCCAATATGTCTTGAAACGGTCATTTTACTTGTTTGCAACTTGCATCGATTTTGTAAACTCAAGCCTACCACGGGCGTTTATGACAACATATAATGATCGTAAATGGTTTCAAACGGTTTTATATGACCCCGAGATGTATCCTTTAGGGTCTAAAGGCTTTTCGCTACCGGGTCCCTAAACCTCAAAATTTCCTCAAAAGCTTGGATTCTAGCCTTCAATTTTGATATATTGTTGACCTTTCTTCGCTCGGAAACAAAATTGTTGAGATGTTTACCATGGTTTCTAATACCCTCCGAGTGTCCAATTCGGTCGGTGGAACCATCCAATATGCCCTTAAACGGTCATTTCACGCGTTCATAATTTGCATTGATTTCTTAAATTCAGGCCTACCACGTACGTGTATGACAACATATAATGATCATATAAGGTTTAAAACGACATTATATGACCCTGAGATATATCCCATAGAGCCTCAACACTTTTTTCCACCGGGCCCCGAAAATTTCCTTAAAAGTGTGGATTATAGCTAGAGCTGTCAAAAACTGACCCGACCCAAGAACCCGACCTTAACGGATAAAGATCTTAATCCAGCCTGTAGTTGAACAATGGGGTGAAACTAGTGACCTGTAACCTGACTTGATCTTAACCGAAAACCCATTTGATCCAATAGTTTATGACCTGAACCCGAACCTGCCCCCGACCTGATAGTAACCGTCAACTGATTTAATTCGACCCGATTGCAATCCGAACCTGAACCTAGTACCCGACCCAGTTAAAACATGAACCCGGGTCATGGAAGGTTTAATAAAATTTTATATCCCTTTTATTCAGCTTATATATTTGTATAATTCTGTAAACCCTCAATCCGATTTAATAAAATCTTTTGTTCAGCTTATATAACTTTTGTTCTCTATTACTCGTATATAGGTTTAATAAAAACTTGATGATGCTTGATCAAATTATGGAAGGCGTAATTATATAGTTCTACTTGGCCACATCGATATTTATTAGAATTGAACTTGAACCAGAACCCAACTCAACACTATCCTGAACCCGAATGTACCATCTTGTTAACCCATCCAAACCCGACTCAACACAACCCGAACCTGAAATTGAACCCGATCTGGTTTTAACTCGAATTGAACCCGACCTATATCCGAAAAGGTGAACGACTTGTTATAACTTGCCTGAATTGACCGCTCTATCACTTACCCGTGCTTTATTTATTTGTTGAATACTTCCAACTCATGTCCATGTTATTTTGTGACCTGCATTTCTGGTCCAAGCCACCTACACTGATCTGTTTTGTCGTTCTTTGGGTTGGACGAATATTGGTGAGCGCTGAGCTGATTACTAGAATTGAATTTTCAAGTACCTGTGTATTTTACTGTTTTGAAAACAAAAATATGATTGTTTTTCATAACACAAGTCTGCAAAACTTAGTTCAGAGGTTAATTGTGTTACAAGGGTTGTACATACTTAATCAACCCCTTATCAAACAAAAGGAAACCGAAGACGCAACAAAATCCATTCACCATGAAGGTAACCCCAAGCACTTTACAGAGTTAAATATAGAATGTCAAGCTAATCATATTAAATGAATGGGAAACCTGTTGTTCATTTGAACTCTTCCCTTGAACTTCTGACAAAAAATTATATTCTACAGATTCTACAGTATACTGTTATAAAAGAATGATGACTATCCCTTGAGCTGTAGTAGTATCGAAATGCTAACGAAAATTGTTACTAGAACAAAGAGTTGAAAATCCCTAGATCCAGGGACAAGAAATTTGTCATCCCCCTTTCCATCTTTCTTTCCCCCTTCGGCTGCAACTGAAAACTTTTGAAAGTGGAATTATAAATCATCCTCAACAATCAGATCAAGGTAGCTTGAGGTTGAGACTGAAAACTTCTTAATCCTCACTAAATGCCAAATCATATATTTCGCGGTAATCCTCAACAAAGTGGACGTCTAGGCCTTCTTTCACATTCAAGGAAAGCTCATCAAAGTCTCTTCTGTTGGCAGCAGGAAAGATTATGGTCTTCACGCCACTTCTCTTAGCTGCTATGGTCTTCTCCTTTACCTGATTTTACATAAATCAACATATTCAGAGACTTCGGATAGATGATGAACATATGAATTTTACAATAAAAGAAAAGTTAAGACAACTGAAACAGCAAAGCAAACAATTAGACTGCAAATAAGTATGAAGTAAACATCCTGAATGCCAATTACAGGTCCAAGCGTCTCTTCCTCCGTCTCTCCAAGTCCTCACCATAGCCATGTTCAATTATGCATGACAATTTTAAGGGGAAATAGATACTGAGTATGATCCATGAAAAGTGAAAGGAAAAAACGGTAAACATCAAGATAACATCAGATGTATCTGACAAAGCCCAATACTCAAGTCAAACTTTCAGAACGGAGGGAGTTACATATTATGCAATCATCATTTTATCAAATATTTAATTCACAACACCAAATTCAAAATTTAATATAACTGTGTGATTTCCACTATTTTTTATTATTTTTATTTATTTATTATTTACCCACCTAATGAAAAAGATAAATAAATAAAAAAAAAATTCAAAACCTAAGACTTAAGCACACTCAAAAAATCTAACCTAACGCCTAACCTTACTTTGAGCTTATCTGATTTTATTTACTTTACACTTTGAACTTGTCTAGACTTATTTTTACTAGTGAATTTTAAACCATATTTGAAAAATTCATCTGAAAGTATTTCAACTTGTACACCTATTCAAACTTTAGACTTTAAAAGCTTTTCTTTATCTTGTTTATGTTAAATTTCGGTGCATTAACTTTAGACTTGTAGACGTAACTGATTGGTGTACAAAATCAAATAATGTGTACAAGTCTACACAAATTAAGTCTAAAGCTTTAGACTTAATTTATCTGTGCATTAACTTTAGACTTGTACACGTATCCAAGCTGTTCCTGTTAAATTTATCTTGTACAGCCTTTGGCAGGTCATCAAAGAAACAAGAAAAGCCTATGTGCTCTGCTCCTGGTTCAGAAAAAAAACCAAGACAACATTGCCACAAGAAAAAAAAATTTCCTATTGTTTCAACTTACCCCGCCAATTGGAAGAATCTTCCCAGTAAGTGTTACCTCCCCAGTCATTGCCAAGTCCTTTTTAACAGGTTTCTTCATCGCGAGAGAGAGCAGTGAAGTAATCATAGTGCACCCAGCACTGGGTCCATCCTTGGGTGTGGCGCCAGCGGGAACATGGAGATGAACCTTGGAATCAGCAAAGAAGTTTCTATTTAACTCCTTCTCCAGCAGTATTGCCCGGGCAACTGTGAGGGCAATTTGTGCACTTTCCTTCATGACATCCCCAAGTTGTCCAGTCAGATTAAGAGCCCCTTTTCCTTCTCCTTGCTCAACATGGGTTGTCTCTACGTAGAGAGTTGATCCTCCCATTGCAGTCCAGGCTAGACCCATCACCACTCCAACAGGGGTCTGATCATAGATTCGCTCTGCATGAAATACAGGTTTCCCAACAAAATCAGAAAGGTTTGCTTGATCGACCAACACTTTCTCTATCTCCTCCGGTTCCTCGGCTTTATCAATTTCAGTTGTATCCTACCAGAGAAAAAGAACACAAATCAATGACAGGTTTTACACATATTTTTATAATTTAATCCTTCTCCACTTCTTCTCGTTTGGCAACAAAGTCTAAGGGTTCAGAGATTTTACAAATAGTTCCACCTAAGCAAGTCCCAAAGCAAATATCCATACAGCAGACTACTATTCAAAAGATTAGGGCAAACATAAAGTCAATTGTTGATACAAAATCCAGCAACCACTTGACACCTTAAATTTAATGAAAGCTAAATTAAACATAAACCCAACCAAGTTCTTGATGGAAACATGCATAACATCAGAGAATACATGAATGAAGACGATGACATGCCCCATGTCAAATAGTACATTGATTACAAGCACCAGAACTAATAAGGAAAAAAAAAACACCAAGTTTGGGGTGTGGAGGTGATTTCAGTGTGGGTGTTATAAACAGAGGAAATGATCAAAAAAATTCTTTGAATTGAGGATTAAACTTCTCATATTAGAGCCTGTACATTAATGCTTGTTTTTTTTTTCTATCAAAGCTTTTCAAATGCATTCCTTCTATTTAGCAGTTGATGTCTACCTTCAAAAATTGAAAAATGAAAACAAAATAATATAATTCTTCAAAGAAGCTTAAGAAGGAAAGGGCATATAAGATGATAGGAAAGGTGAAGTTCCACAAGAGATTGATCTTATGTTTGTTAGAGGAGGAGGAATTTGTAGAGAAGTTCACCGATCATTCCATTTGCTATAGATCCAAACAGAACTCAAAGATCACAGTATACCTTTGAGCCATCAAGTAATTCACTACATCTTTGGGGGTGCTCCTGTTCAAAATCTACATTATCTGAGCTGCTCTCATCAGACTTATCCTCATGGCTTCTCGCTTCTGTTTCAGCTTTACTTTGGTTTTCTTCCTGAACTGTAGTTTCACTTGAGTCAGCAATACAATCAGCTTTAGAAGCATCAGAAGCAAGTGCTGAGGATTCGTTTGAAGCTCCTAGCCTCACAAGTTGTAAAGCAATCTGAAATGTGAAGTGACCTCAAGTAAGCATAAAATATATGGTGATGTTTATTTCTGATAATATCAAGAAGTTCAACTAATGTGTTACCTTGCGGTATATTTTTTCAATTTGTTTCTGAAGGTTGCGGACCCCAGCTTCCCTACAGTAATTCTCAATCAGAGAAAGAAGGGCTAGATCAGTGAGCTCAACCTGTAATAATGGAGTCAATTTTCAATAAATTGTTAAGACAGATGAGGCATAAATAACGAATTAGACATAACATTATCTCAATTTTTAAGGATATGTCTAGATTTCACAAATACTTTTAATAGTCGAGTCATTTCCAAATTTTGTCCATCAGTCAATATATATAGCACATCATGAAAAGTCCATTCATAAACGATTACTACTCTAGTAAAAGTGACAACTTAAAACACTAATTAGAAAATAGTACAAGTGACCATTATTTTTTCAGACAAGAGTATTTTCTATTTGCAGACTAAAAGCACATTAGCACAAGATTCAGAAGAAGACTGAGCAAACTACGATATTCATTAGTTCACTACCATAGTTCACTACCTGTTCAGGCTTGATGCCACATGCTTCACGGGTGGTCTTTTCCAAATAGTCACGTGCAATGCGCAATTTCTCATCAGTAATATAACCTGCAATCGAAATTACTTCCATTCGGTCCAAAAGAGGGGCAGGAATATTTTCGATCACATTAGCTGTGCAGACAAACAAAACCTGAAAATAAAAATTCATAAAGGTAGATGAAACAGGGAAAATATATTAGACTGAAGAATATGCCTAGATAATTAATCATTCAATATGGGGGTAAAAAACATCCCAGTGAAAGCAGGAGTCAAGAGTAACTAATCATCCAATATGAGGGTATAAACCATCCCAACTAAAGCAGGAGCTGAGAACTAGTGGATAAGTTATACTTTGAATGGGTAGCATTTTTATATTATTAGTTTGATTTTGATAAATGCTAAAGGAAATATACATAAAACATTATTTCAGTTATTCCCTTGGAATTGATATTTAAATTTATAAGTAGTACTTCCTTGCTCCCTCCATTTTCTTTTGAACTAGTGACATCATTAAAGAAGAGCAAGAATACCCATTTCGCGCGGGCGGGGCAGGGGGGGTGGGCGATCAACTTAAAATATTGAGAAATAAAAGCTGAAGCTGCAATTTGTATACAGTGGTATAGTGGAAAACATAAATAATTGTGCATATATATATATATGGTTATTTTGAACAAAATTATGCTACTTCCTCCGTTTTTGTTAATTGCACCATTTGGATCTTTACACTATTCACACAATAGCCTTTGACCGGTTTATGTGATTTATCCGTAAATTAAATCATAGTCATATGGGATCTAGTTAGATTTGTCTTGATATCTACTTTTCAATATCAACTTTTTATAATTTTGATTAAGTGATTAAAGATATTAATCGTCAAAGTAATGCATGGGGAAGCGTGATATCACAAATGGTGCAATTAAAAAAAAAAAGGAAGTATTAATAAAAAAATTCTTTTTGAAAATTTAATATAGGAAGAACAAAACCAAAGCGAGGGAGTACGAAAGACATAACTTGGTAAAATGTACACAAGCCCTTATATGATATTAGATTTTAGTGAAAAGCAAAAGTAGTATTAAAGACAATTCAGTAAAACATGTCATTTTACTGGGTAAAATCACTTCACACAAAAATAAAACTAATTTATTAACTAGTCAAACCAACTAAAACAATTACTCAGTTATCTACTAATAGTCAAACAAGGCCAAAAAACCTAGATTCTCCATAAGCTTGTAACAGAAGATGATGTCTATTTCATGGAGCTGAAAATTTCACTACTTTCTGACTTTAAATATACTCCATTATGGAATAACTATTATTATTATTATTTTTAAAAAGGGGCTAAGCTTATTATAACATTTGCCCTTTTCTTTTTAATTTATAGTAACATAAAATATCAGCATTCTGAATATAGTCAAATGTCTACTGTTAAAGGCTTCTTCAGTTCAATCATACGGACAACAGGTAAGTGTGTGAGCATCTGACCCCCTTATTATACCCTGGACATGAATGTTTTTCACATAAATTTGGCCCATTATTGTTGTGGCTTGCACCAAAATATGGATCGTAAGATAATTATAACAGCTAGAGGACCAAGGCTCATTAGGCAAGGAGGCCAACAATACCAAACTCAGTAGTAAAAATTCCAAAAATTGATCACAAAAATCTGGGAAGCATAACATGATATAGGGTCAAAATGAAGCAAGAAAAACACCCTAACCACATACAAATAACTAAATCAAGTCCTTATAACCATGTATAGGTTATAATGTTCAAAAATCAACTTTTAAAATACAATCTATCCCAGTACCACTAAAAAGAGCCAAAAATTTGTCACTGAAAAGCTTATTAACAAGCCAAGAAAATGTTGCTAAGAAGTCACACAGAAATTGATGAGCCAAGAAAATGATATATATATATAGTTTAGTTACCCGAAATCAACATGACATTATTAAAATTTGAAAGCTGAAGGAACTAACCTTTGACAAATCAATTGGAACATCAAGGTAGTGATCCAGAAAATTTGCATTTTGTTCAGGATCAAGAAGCTCCAACATAGCACTTGCTGGATCACCAGTATTTCCTCTACCCAACTGCATTGAAGGATGAGCAATTGAGCTTCTCATGAAAGTTAAGTACGATTAAATTCACATTCCACATGGACAGGTGTAGAGCTCATTATTTAGAAGAGCACCAGTATACATCCTTCAGTGAAATTCCCTATGTCACACTCAATAATAATCACTAGGAAAAAAACAAAAACCCCAAAATCAACCCTTCCCTAGAAAAGGAATAGAACAAAGAAAACATCATGAAATTGAGACTCAATAAGAATTTTGGTCATACAGGCACATGTTTTTCATATGTAGCATGGAAAATATGGAGTGTAGAGTACATATAGTGATATGAAGAGAGTATACCTTGTCAATTTCATCGATTAACACAAGAGGATTAGCTGTTCCTACACTTTTTAAGCACTGCACCATCTTTCCAGGCATAGCTCCAATATAAGTCCGACGATGACCCTGTGCACAATCACATAGTAATGCATCACAGTTGTTTTATCCATTCCTCTTTATTATGGGGTTTGGGGGGGATTAAAAATTAAGAAGTTCATAACACACTGTCCAAATTGTACCTTAATCTCCGCAACGTCGGATAGTCCTCCAACTGAAAATCGATAAAACTTGCGATTCAAGGCACGTGCTATGGAACGACCAATACTAGTTTTCCCCACTCCGGGTGGGCCAGATAGGCATACAATTTTCCCTGATACAAAAGCATCTTTATTCAATATGTATACTCTTCTAGGCAAAACTTTGACAACTGTTCAACACAATTGTCACCTCATAGCAATATAACTGACATTGATTGATTCAATAGATTAGCTCCCCGAGGTAAAGTTTTGACCACTATTGACTATCATTAGTCACCACATAATAATAATAATAATTATTATTATTATTATTTCACAATGAGAAACAATCTCAAAGAAATTTACAAGCGTAAATCTACATCGTGCTCGGATTTTTTAAAAAAGAAATTGGGCAACCATTGCGAGAGAGGAGTCTGCTCAATATACCATATTCTGCAGATGAGCTATAGCAATAAAAGTTATTTTGAAAATGACAAACGGATAACAGTTGAAGGATATGCATCACAAATCATATCCTATACTCCTATGAACATGTCTATATCATTCACCCAGAGATAACTCTAACATAGAAAGACATCATTTCCTCTTGCAAGTAAAAATTCTTCAGTCAATGTTAATTGAAGACCTATACGGCAATTGCAAAACTTATCAACATTAAATATCAACATTCAAGTACTACCTCCGTTTCGGATTACTTGCAACATAGAAGTATTATTTGTGAGACACAAGAAATTTCTCTGTTGCAAATAAATAATAAGAAACGGAGGAAGTATCCATATGTACGCAACTACAAATCAAAACTATTAGAGGCACAAAAAGGTATGGAAAGGTCTGCACATATACAACTACTAGGCAACTCGTCCTATTTGGCACAAAAGGGTCTATTAAGCTACAACGATGAATAATTTTCTAAATTAGAGCCTATGCTAGAGTTACACAAGTAACAACAAAATAAAGCATATATATCTTTGAAAAGTGAAAACCTTGAGCTGTTCCCCGCAACTTTCCAACAGCAATAAATTCCAATATCCTCTCCTTGACATCAGACAAGCCATAGTGATCTTCGTCTAGTATCTTCTGTGCTTGACTAACATCAAAATTTTCATCACTGCACAAACACAAAAGGTAAAAGAACACATTATTACTCCCTCTGCCCTAATATGTAGTTCCTGTTTGTGTTTTTTCACGGTAGTTAAGAAATATGAGGAATAAGTGGATGAAATACATTAAAAAAAAAAAGAGAAAAGTACAATTGTAGACAAAAATTAGAGAGAGAAAATGGAAAAAAGTACAAGGAATGTGCAAAATTCAAGGGTAATTTAGGAAGCACAATGAATAAAGTTAAAAAAAGTGAGGGTATAATAGTCTTTACATACTATCCAAAAATAGAAACATGAACAACATTTTGGGTCTCCAAAATAGGAAAACAGGAACTATATTATGGGACAGTGAAAGTATTATATATAGATAGCCCTCCCACCATTAAAATAATATAACAACATAATTCCATCCCCTCAACGTAAAGGATTTGGCATGATCACATGCACTCCTTTTAAAAGTAGTGTCTTCTCTATCCACTCTCCAACGCTTAATTAAATGAGAATGTCTTAAAACTTTTAATTACAAGTCACTTGGCCCTCAATCGTAAGTGATTGTTCACAATGAATTTTCTTAATGATAAAGGAACCGAAAAGGATCAAGAATGTGTTTTAGAGTAGCAATGCATTGAAGAAGCAGTGTATTTTAGTGTAACAACTTGGAGAGACCCATAAGAAATTCTTTGGTTTCTTAATTCCTTATGCAACACAAAATGATAGTCATAAATTGCAAAATAAGCAAAAAGGAAAAGATATTTACAAGTTGTAAAAACGAGGTGGCTTATAACCACCACCAACGACAATGTCAAAGCCTTAATCTAAATAAAATGGAGTCAGTTATATCAATCAAAGATTGTATCTACAGTGATTCAAAAAAAAAAAAAAAAAAAAAAATCATGTTCCCTCATTCACTTTGACTGTCCCATGTGCTCCTGCATAGCCATTTCCTCATTCCTTCTTAATTCCCTCTATCCTAGTCATCTTTGGTTTCCCTAGACTTCTTTTAAGTTCTCATAATAATATAACTCCACTAATAGGTGCACCTACACATACTGTCTCACATGCCCAAACCCAAACCAACATAATCGGTTCTCCCATTTCTCAACCACAATATTTATAGCTCCAAATCTACCATTGGAATTTTATCCCTTAAGGTGTTCCCACACATTCAAATTAATTTGCATTTCTGCTAACGGTGAGTGAAAATTTCAAGTACCCAAAACCGGCGGGTTTGAAACCAAAATTGGATCAGTTGGTTCCTTTCATTCTGGGTAATAAAATTAAGAACTGGTTGCAACCAATTCCCAATTTTTTGGAACCGAAAACGATTGGATATCAGTTACATGAAAATATTAATATATATGTACTTTAAAAACAATGTTTAATGTATCTAATTATTAAAAACAGAATAGCATTAGTATAGCGTAAAAAATACAATAGCTTAATGCACATAAAAACTTAAGTATTACTCCCTCTGTGTTTAAATAAGTGAAACGTGTCTCTTGTACACGTATGCCAATCATGACTAATAATATCAATAAGTAAAATCTATAGCAACTGAATATTAATAAACTATTCATTAAGACAAATCCAACAAGTACACACAATACTATATTTATTCTTAAGTATACATCACAAACTGAAATACTAAATTATATGGATAGTGCAAAAAGTCAAAACGTTTGACTTATTCAAACACGGAGGAGGTAGAAGCTTAAAAAGGATATAGACCAAATGAAATATTAGAATTTGCATTATTTAAAACAATTATGTATATAGCCATGTACCAGAACAAATTTGGAACCGATTAGACTGGTTCCAATTTCGGTTCCGAATATTAAGAATCCGTCCCAACCAAATTTGAATCCGTAATTTTGATCAATTATCCAATTTGCACTGCTATACCCGCTCTTCATATGAGCATTCCCAATTGCCTAAAATTCTGGCCACTATAAAACATAAAACAACACTGATATAATCAAATTTAACCTTAGAGGTACACTACAATCACACAATATCTTAGTTTAATCTCTCCATTTGAGTTATTCAATTAAACAAATCTTAGTCAATATTTCCAATTCTTTGTAAAAGCAATCCAAGGTACTTAACACTCACTTATGGATAGATATTTATAGTTACTATCTGATGTTACTAGCCTTCTTTAGTTCCTTCTCAATTAGAATTGACGATACTCTGCTTAGCCTAAACCCTTGAGATTGTAGCTTTTGCCTTAATCAAAATTAGCATCGAGTCCCACTCTAGTCTTATCTACTAATATGATATCATATCACCCACAAATAACTTACACCCATGAAATCAACTATTTTTAATGAAAAATAGAAAGAATCATGAAGTCCAATCACAATAGAAAAATCCCGTATTACTCTCCGAAAGCAAAAGTTGAACATATTTTTTCACGTCTCTAACATAAATCCTTAACTAAGTCAATAATTTTACATAACATACCTTTATTTGTCATTTCACATCAAAGGAATCAAGGTAACAAACAAGATACCTTATAACAACATATGTTAATCACTTGACAAAATTTAGCAATGGAAGTCATATCACCAAATCAATTCTCGCATAAAGGATCACAATAGCACCTTCAGCATTGTTATGTATGGTTTTCAAAGACACGATTCAAAGTTAAGAGAAAAATGACTGATCTTTATCTTAGAGATTTTCTACGACTTCAACTTGACTAAGAACAATTGCCTGCACTTAGAATCTTAAAATAAAATATTTACGAGCTTGATGTCAAAAAAGATTCTATTTAACAGCTATAGGACTCCCTTTCCTTTGGCTCTAAGTTAAGGTCAAGAATTTAATTTGAAAACAAAAACAGTAACATGCCTTCATATATAAGAACTGAAACCAAGATAAAAAATAAGAAAGATTTTATATGAAATGGATGCTTAATTTACAGAGTGTATAGCAGAGATAATTTTGAAAGAACTCTGATTACTCTGTATTTTGACTATTTGAGACCAACCTGTAATTTCCCCAAGGCAATGCCGTCAACCAATCAAGATAATTGCGAGTAACATTGAATTCACTTGAGCTGGCCTCCAGCAGTTGGAGCTTTGTAAGTTCTTCTTCTATAACTTGCATAACATGTTGTGGAATATTATCTTTACTTGATTCAATCCTTTCCCTGAACTTTGCTGGAGGAAAGAAAATATGGTCAAGGAAGCATAATATCAGAATATAAAGTTCATGCACGGAAATTTTGCAATCAGTAAACTCATATATTCTTAATAAATAGCAGCGTCAACACTGGTAGAGATATGCACCACATGAAGCCCGCTCAGACAAAAATTCAGCCATTGACTATGTCAATGAAATTTCTAACGGATCAAATGCAATTCTAGACTCAAATACGCATCCAACTAATTTACAATACATATGATGCTATGCAATTAATGAGAAACAACTCACTAGTAGTACTCACCAGAGAGTGCTGTTTTGTCATCTGTTTCAAGTCCCAACTCCTGTATAGATAGAGAGGGAGGAGCAAAAGTTAAGCATTTTAATTCACAGTATATCTTTTAGCAACAAGATATTTCACTAATTTCAGCATATAGCATAAGGATAAATTAACAATACTTCAGATGTACCAAGCACCACAGCCATCATGATGGCTACAAAAAAGTTGTAGCACCAGTGCACCACATTGTATGGGCAAATATGATAATTATTTGAAAAAATACTTCTACAGCATGGGATTAAAGATAAGAAACCTTTTTTATGGCCTTGAGTTGCTCATTCAGAAGATAGCGCCGTTGCTCACCACTGATTTTCTCTTCAATAGCTTTCGCTATGGTTTCCTTCATAAGATCAAAAGAGATAACTAAACCGCACAAAAGAACCCAAAAATTAAAAAAATAAAAAATAAAAAAGGAACTACCAAAAGAATTTGAGAAAATACCTGAATCTTACTAATTTCCACTTCTTTCTTCATCAATTCCAAGGTTAGTTGTAAGCGCTTGAGCACCTGGATTATCAGGTCAGAAAATGAACATTCAATTAAGTGGAAAAAAAAAAATTAGAAAATATTTCCTTTGTAACTTGTAAGACATGATCTGTGATGCACCTAGAATTTTACATCATTTTTAATTCAACAGCACTTACATCTAGCTCTTCGAGTACTTGCTGTAATTGAAACTTGTTTGCCCCAGATATAGCTGCTCCAAAATCTGCTAGCCTAGGATAGGTGAAATCACCAATATGCTGCAAAGAAAAAATAGGCAGCATAAGCATCATCAGGATATGATAGAAAAAGCAAAGTTTAAGGCTTATGATTACTGCTTAAAAAATAAAAAATAAATAAAACTTCACGAAGAAAAACTTGAAGACAGGAGTCACTGCAAAATATGTGTCTAAAAGATAATGGACAACAATTAAATCATGGAAATTTGGGGGAGTAGGTATAAGTAAATCCAGGTGAGTATAACCAGAGTTACATCCACAAACAAGGGTCAAGAATACATCATAAAGTTTATACTGAATTCAAAAGGCATTGCACATGAGAATAAAAAGAATCTGCAACAGCCACTTATTTGATAAGGTAGCTATCCAAATATATGAATGTGTTTAAAAAAAAGAAGCATACAGAGCTTCATTAGTTTCCCAATTTCAAGACATGTCTCTGAACAGTAACGTAAGTTCTAAGGTTGGAGAACAGTAATGAAAGTTATAAGTATGCTGGAAAGGCAAAGGCCTAAAACATCAGAACACCCCAAAGATGTGAGCAACAGGCCACCTACAGAGAGGCCCCAAGGACCAAGTTCTGTATCCTTCTGATGCATGGTCAAGGGTAAGCATAGTGATCAGTAAACACACAAAATTCATGTTCATGAGCCAGAAATTTAGATCTAGTAAAATGGTTCTGAAGTATCCATACATTATCCAACCGAAATCATAAATTATACATGAAGAATTATGTTATGTACTGAATTCGGCTAATGTATTTCACACAGTTGATTATGATTTACGGATGAAAGCTTGAGTATTTTGATTGATTGAAGAACGATTACAAGGGGATAAGCATAACTTGAGGTTATGAGTCTCTCTAGTAGCTTTAGGCTACAAGTCTCTCTAATGTCAACTCACTAATTTCTGGATAATTTCTACCACTGCTAAACTACCATACATATACTCAAGACTTAGATAACACATGTGATTTTAATTAACTAAAATAGAAACCCATAGTGAACATGATTAAAGGAAGCTGCTTTACTTCCTCAACTTCTCCTTAATTGGCTTTGTCCTGTTGCTCCTTGTTCCTGGCTTCTCTTGACCCTTGCTGCCCCATCTTTGCGCGCCTCGTATACACCAAAAGTGGTGGTTGACTTGCGGTGTTGACCTCGTTAACCCAATCCATTACAAATTAACCAGCTAATAAAATGCTTTGTAACAAACACCTTGTAGCATCAAAACATATAAATGTTGAATATTATAACTAACTTTGAAGGTTGCATTATGGGTCTGTGCAGTATTTGACTCTTCCAAAGGTCAAAGAAAATTTTAATCCTTTATCACACCTCTATCAACGCTAGTACAGATCTAACCCTACATCTGACAATGTTAGTTCTTTAGCCATGACAGATACAAGGTATACAGAAAATCTTCAGACACATATATACCAGAATACCACAGATAGAATTTTTCTAAATATTACACTAAAAATCTTTTAAGCTCAATTTTTACAAATAACTCAGAAAGCCATGCCTTTTGAAACAACAATATCAATCAAACAATCAAACATAGTATAAAAATTAAAATTCTGTGGCTCCTCGAATCCAATTCTTAGGCTGCAGCAGTGCAGCCAGACCTATTGACAAATGGCAAGCTACAAATAGTCATATAAAATGGCACAAATGTTATCATTTGCAAATTTCACAAATCAACAGGGAACCCCAACTTTAAGGCAATATAGAAAAGCAGCACATATATCACATAAAATCTCACTGACATCACTATAGCCTAATCTTAGCAAATACAGTTTTGTGGAACAAGCTTTCCATACTTCCACAAAGAGAATGTAAGTATATACATGTTTTTAGTGCTCTATGTTGAGCAATACCTTTGTGTATGTTTGGACATGATCCCTCCAGAGTGAACTTCTTTGCAAGACATCCCTTATAGTAGATATGACCTCAAATGATGTTGCTTTAATGACATCATCGTCTTTCTCATAAGGTAAATCCTGCAACAAGATAAACGGTCTAACAGCTAGACATCAATCTAAGAAAGCAAAATGTACACTTAATAGTAAAGAAATTTAAGTACACATTGGGAAAAAAAAAATCTTGCCTTAAGATGATCAACTTTGACAGTTAGAGGATATTCATTCACCTGGTACAAACACATTAGCATCAATCATAAGGCCTTCCCTTAACTAGAATCAGCACTGGTACGGGGAATTAATAACAATTAGAGTGCAATCCATACAGAGAACCAAACACATTTAAGAGAGCTTAGAGAAGCATGCAAACAGCAGCCTCGTAGAATCATTGCAGGTCAACATTAGACCAAGTAGAAGACAATTCAGAAGCACATAAATTATGTACCACTTCTAGTTTCATCAAGCTTACCATCTCTGTTATTCGAAGTCTGCGATGACCAATAAGAATAACTTGTTCTCCCTGGATGCTTGAAATCTTTGTGGAAAAACACAACAGAATTATAAATATTAGCCAAATATCAGTATTCTATTACATATTGATCATATTATGAAGAAAAAAAAGGGGGTCAAAATTAGGGTACCTGAGCCAATGTCCCAACTTCATGCAGCCTATTTAGAAGTTCTTGTCCTTTAAGATCATAAATGTTCTTCTCGTCAGAATCTGGCTCATCTTTGATAAGAAAGGCACCAGCATACGGAGCTTGCCTTCTTTGACTTTCTGCCAGAGCTGCTAACAATTTGGGATCCTGGAATAAAATGTAGGCCATAGAAACCTCCACTTAGACTACAATGGAGCTAAATGCTAAGGTTGATATATCATCTTTGAGTGATAAGTAGAAGTAATCGATATAAAAATATAAATTTTTTTAAAAAAAAACATTCAAATTTGCAAGGATAGCTACTTGTTCCCTTGATCTAGGTAGCTACTTGAGTGCTTGATGGTCATTCATGACTTATGACAACCAAACTTGACTTTACAAATCATCAGTGCAAAACTGCAAACAAAGGACTACAACCAAGAATCTACTAATTTCCGCATTCCACCTCTATGACTTTTGCATTTCCAAGTTTATGTCAAAATGCCAGACCACAACCAATGGCTTGCTTTATAGAATAATCAACACTAGTATTGTAAGCAATACCGTCTGTTGGGGAAGCCATTCCCACCGCGCTCTGTACAATAATATCTTTCAGAAGACAAAATTCAAGCCCAGTGAAAGAAATAAAAGGAAAAAAAAAGTGAAATACTCAGCTCATCAGCGAAACAGTAAAAATCTGTGCGTTTATGGCTCAAAAATTATCGAAAAGTTGGTGGGCTGCATGATCATAGTTTTGGAGACAATATTTATGAAAGAGAGCAAGATAATAATAACAACCAAAATGCTCACAATACCTTTACATTGACTGGCATGTAGAACCCAGGAAATAGTGGACGATGAGGAAGTGGTAATGCTAAAACCTGCCAGATATGCATCAACATTCAATTTACAAACAAATGGCAAAAACAGTAAGAGAGCATGTAAATGCTGGGGGGGGGGGGGGGGGGGAGGGCAATAGACAAACATTCCAATATCAAATCACATGGCAATATCAGCTAATATTATTTTAGTAAGGAAATGCAGTAGAGAGACCTCAAGGGAGTCACCCATATACAAAATAAAACTACGCACAAAAATATCAAATCATATGCTTTAAGGTTAGCAAGAGATGCTCTTCAAGGAGCACTTAGTTCCAATAATACGAAGGTCAAAAGGTAACTTGTAAGCTTAGTGTGAAAAACCTATGCCCTAAAAACACTTTTAAATTTTCTCAGGTGACAGCACAAACATGAAGGAGGCAATCATGAATTACAATAAATAAGGCCTGGCATACAAATAAAACATCAGATCAGGAAAATAAAAAAGTAAAAAGTACAGTTATCAAGTGCATTTAGTAAGAAATTTGAGCTTTCCGCGGCTAATATGGAACTGGTAAACATTCACACTGTTAAGAGTTTTAGACTACAATTTTAGATAGTAGTTACAGTTGCAACTACATCACGATTTGTGACTCAGTCATATCAACCATAAACCAATCGTATGAGCTTTTTATCATCTATATCGACTATCAAGAACCAACTATTTATGATATGATGGGAAAAAGAACGTCATGGTTGAGACAGACAAAAATTTGCTACTCCGTAATAGATAGGCCGTGCAATTGCTAATATGTAAGAACTCTACTAAAAGACCATTTATTTGTTGGACAATTCAATCACTCCTAATTCTCTTCCCCAATTAAGACCTTGAAAGGCGGAATCAGAAAAGCCTATCACAATCAATTTTTAAGCCAATGTAAGTATGTAACAGCTTGTTCCGGACATTGTAACGTAGTATATGTAATTGTGCTTTCTTCATGTACTCAACCAAAATTTTGCACTATTAAACATACATCAGCTTAAAATCTATCAAGTTTTCATACACCAAACCATCTTTACATCAATTCACTTCACATAAACAAAGAAACATACTTAATTATCGATTGTTCAATGATCAACTAAACTCATTCAACAGCTTCCTAGAATCATTTACACTAATTCAATTACGGAATTACCACAATTCAAAAATTAGAAAATGAGGAGAGTAAAGAGAGAAAACCGTGAAGCACTCGTCGGGGCGAAACACACTGGGGAGAATCGCATTCGGCGAAACGGAATCGGCATCCTCGGCTTCAGCAGCAGCAGCTTTAGCAGCAACTCCGGCATCACCAACCGAGTCAGACCCATCAGAGGATGAAGAATCGGAGCAGAAATGAGCACGGAATACAAACGGTTTAGGGTAATTGGAACTGCGAAGCGAGTCGATAACTCGGAGCAATGGCGTAGTTGACTCAGCACAGGTCCGAGCTATGGTGGGTGACCGGGAATGAGATGCGAGAACATTCTGGAATCGAGAAGAGTATGATAGAACCTTCAACATTTGGGGGTGGAAAAATCAATTGTGAGATGAATTTGGAATTAGGGTTTTTATGGAGGTTGAAGATGAATTGAAGCTATACAAATTATAAAATGGTTAGTGAGAGAAGTGTTTGATAATGGATTATGAGTAGAAGAACATTGTAGAAGGAGAGGAAGAAGAAAAATGAGGACTGTAAATTGTTTTATGTCCAAAAGCCCTCCATAAACCCTTTTGTTGTGGTTTATTGTTGATTTCTATAAAAGGAAATGCCCTAGTGTCTTGTGTGAGAAGATATTGTTAAAATTGGATATAATTTGAATGTTAAAAGGTGCGGAATTCATTAAAGTAAATCAATTTCCGTCAAAGTTGTCAAGTTTTGGGAAAAAAGATCGATAAATACAAACTCATTACAACATTTAATATCCCATCTTGTAACACTGTGAGCTAAAGTATTACCCCACGCTTAATATGGGAGAAAAAAAAAAAAAAAAACTAAAACCAAAGTTAAGAAAAACTCCTTATTTGGGATCATTTCTAATGTATTAAAAGAAAAATAGTAATCTAAGTAAAGTTGTTACTTACAAACATCAATATCCATGTTACTAAATGGCATACAACAACAATCCAACCTGTTGCGCGATTTGGATCTTGATAGGTGGATTGCTAAACATCGCCCGCAAATCTCCACATAAAGCCCACAAATCTATACTGAATTTATCTTATTGCCCTAAACCTAAAATAAAAAAATCTAACCCATACCCACACTCTAATCACCCAAAAATACGGCAATGTTGAGGCGGCAAGGCAAGGACTTGGCGGCCACAGCGGCGGAGGGAAGGACGGCTCACGGTGGCAGGGTTTTTTAAAAAAAAAAATATTTAAAAAAAAACCAGAAGAGGTGGGGCGCCTGGCCAGGACGCCCAGCCCCTGGTGGTGGCGTCTGCTCCGACCGCCGGAACCAGGGGGCTGGCGTCTGACCTGGACGCCCAGCCACAGTTGTGGCGTTTTCCAGAGGACGCCCAGCCCTACCACTTTTTTTTTTTTTTTTTTTTTTTGTCTAATATTTTTTTTTTGGAAAATCAGAATTCTTTTGTTAATGTTTAATATTTTTGTTTTATGTGTTAATGTTTTTATTTCTAATGTATATATTTTTTTTTAAATCAGAATTTTTTGTGTTAATGTTTAATTAAAAAAAACAAAAACTTTAAATAAAATTTAAAAAAAATTGCAAAAAGTTTAAATAAAATTACAAAAAAGAAAAAGAAAAAAAAAATAAAAAAATAACAAATTACAAAAAAAAAATAATTACAAAAAGTAGGGGTGGCGTCTGGCCAGGACGCCACAGCCATGGTGGCGGCGTCCTGACCAGACGCCACCCCTACTTTTCGTAATTTTTCCCACGGATTAACTCGCTTTCCGGCGACGATGACGGCTCTTCGGTGTCCCTCGGCGATCCACTCCAGCTCCACATTCTTCGTGAGAGTGAATTACGGTTTCGGTAAAAATTAGAAAAAGGGCAAAAGAGTCAAAGTAAAAATATTTGTGGGCTTTATGTGGAGATTTGCGGGCGACGTTTAACAAATCCCCTTGATAGATATGCTAAATGCTCTAATTTTGAAATTTAATTTTGAAATTGAGTGAGAAGAGAATGAGTGTATTCGATAATATGCTCCATAATAGAAGTGATCAAAATTTGCTAATTGAAGAGTTTATTTTGCTAATGCGTTTGGAATGCGTTTGTGGGCTTTATGTGGAGATTTGCGGGCGGGTTTGGAATGCGTTTCATGCATATTTTGCTAATTTTTTAGGCACGGCCCGACCATTTTGTGCGAGTTTGGACACAAAATTTGGGCCTGGAACTTGGCCCGACATGGGCCGACTCGAGGAAGTGGGGTTACTTTTTTATATTCAACCCGGTCCGTCCAATGATCACTTCTACTCAATGTGCCAAAGGACTACTCAAATGTCTTTTATTGAGTTAATGACTAATAGCCGTAATAGGTGTTACCTTCACTTTGAATGTTCTGAAAGCCCACATTGAAGAGTCATTAACCTCATTTTAAAAATATCTTTAGCTTCCGTTGTAATTACTTTGGTCCAGGTGAGGTTGAACGTACATGGCTTGATGAGTGTTCAGTTGTTATATCTAATGTCGACTCATGTTGCTGCTGATTTGTTGCAAATTGAACCGTTGACTTTAAGTTTGAAGAAGTGTTGAGAGACGCCTTCCATGATATAGAAATAGATGAAGGGGAATAATTACAAGGAAAATAGTTATGGCCTTATTGGGATCTCAAAATGAGAGATCCATCGAGAAAAATGTTTCCATAAGACTTATTTGGTGCCACTTATTGAACGCAACATACACTTGATGGAAAATCCTAAACATGTAAAATGTCTCAACGTTGAAGCTAATAGCATTTCGCTCTCTCCAGACACTCCAACTAAGGAGTATATATTTCCTTAAAATATTTAGATGTTTTCTTAAGTAGGTTCCAAACTTCTTTGATTCTTGTGCACTTAAGGAATATACGAGGAGTATTTTTTTTCATTGTGATTATTGCATAAGGGGAAAATATATAACGAGATAACAAGCACAAATTGAATAGACGTATACACTCGTAATATGGATTATCCAAGTTTAATTTACCGTCAAAATAAGTTCAAATACTCGTAAACTTTTTTTGTAAATAAAAATACGCTGACAGGTGTGCTAAGTTTAATAGAGTTACTCCGTACAACTTTTACGAATAATTATGGATTTATGGACGAAGATGCATTTCCAAAACTAACACCTTTTAAATGCTAACAACTTCACAAATCACAAGTTTCAAACTTTCAATTGCAACTTTTGCAACCCCAACCCCAACCTCAACCTCAACACCTGCATTTGCCTGCGCCGGCGATTCACACAGCAGACACGAAATAGCCGCGACCCAATTCTCACTGCCGACCGCCCTGATCACCGGTAACCTCTGTATCTCTCTATCTACTTGAATTCCATTCGCTGAATGCTGAAATGTATGCAATTTCCCCATTTTTTCGATTTCTAAAATCAGTTAATCGCCACTATAATACCCCTTTTAATTCCGTTATATCTCTTCATTATCATGTAAGATTGTTTGGTACTTCAGATTCTACTCAAATTAACGAAACCCCAGAAAATTTAAACCCAATTTCTGCGATTTCTGAGCTCATAGCTAAGCAGCATTGGAGGGAATTGAAAAGAATTTATCTAAGTACAACAAACCCTAATGAAATTCTGCAACAATTGATTGATTCTGAGTCTGACCCACGATTGATTCTTCAGTATTTCAAATGGTTGGAGATGGAGCATGAATACTGTGTTTCACATGACACTGAGATGTATTTAGAGGTTTTTCATATGTTAGCTAGGGAGAAATTGTATGGGGAGATTAGGAAATTGTTGAATGGGTTTGTCAAGAAAGGGGAGTACTCGAATTCGGAGGTGTTTCATATTCTTTCGACGAAGTTTGCTGGCTTTTATGGGATGAATTCGGTGATTGTTGATATGCTGGTTCAGACATGTGTGAAGAATTTGAAGGTGGGTTTGGCGGTTGAGGCGGTTAGAAGAGCTTGGGATTATGGGTTCAGGTTATCTATATTATCGTGTAATCCATTGTTAAGTGCTTTGGTTGATGAAAGGGAGACAAAAGTTATGGAGTATGTGTTTAAGGAGATGATTAGGATGGGGGTTAAGCTTGATATTACGACGTTTAACACAGTCATTAACGGGTTTTGTAAAGTTGGTCAGCTGCAAAGGGCTAATGATCTTTTGGAGGATATCAAATTATGGGGTCTATCTCCCTCGGTTGTCACTTATAATACTCTTATTGATGGGTATTGCAAGATGGCAAGGGTTGGAAGGATGTATAAAGCAGATGCTTTTTTGAAAGAGATGGTGTCAATGAACATCAGTCCAAATGAGATCACCTACAATACTCTTATTGACGGATTCTGTAAGGATCAAAACTTGCCCTCTGCTTTGAAGGTTTATAAAGAAATGAAATGTCAAGGATTGAAACCTAATGTTGTCACATATAACACACTGATTAGGGGGTTTTGTAGTGATGGGAAAATTGATGAAGCTTTACAGTTAAGAGATGATATGTCTCCCCAAGATTTGAAGCCAAATATCATAACGTATAATATCCTCATCAATGGCTATGCTAAAAAGGGAATGGTGAAAGAAGCTAGGGAGCTGCTGGAAGATGCTGATAGAATAGGTGTAATTCCTAGTGCTGTAACTTTCAATACTTTGATCGATGCTTATTGCAAGGCTGGGATGATGGATGAAGCTGTTGCATTGCTGAATTTAATGTTGAAGCGTAACATTTCCCCAGATGTCTCTACTTATAATTGCTTAATCGGTGGCTTTTATAAAAATGAGGATTTTGAAGCAGCTGATGATATCTTAAAGGAAATGAAAAGTGTTGGGCTCCAAGCTGATACCGTGACATATAACATAAGGATAGGTGCTCTTTGCCAGAAAGGCAACACAAGAAACGCAGCTAAGCTACTGGATCAAATGTTAGAGATGGGTTTGACTCCAACTCATGTGACATATAATACCTTAATTGATGGCTACTGTACTAAAGGAAATCTCAGGGATGCCATGAATATGAGGTTAAGAATGGATAAAGCTGGTAAGCGAGCAAATGTTGTGACATATAATGTCTTGATAAAGGGTCTTTGTAGCAAAGGCAAGCTGCAAGAAGCAAACAAGCTTCTTAATGAGATGTTGGAGAAGGGTTTAGTCCCTAACCGGATCACCTATGATATTATCAAGGAGGAAATGATGGAGAAAGGATTCTCTCCTGATATTGATGGACACCTTTACCAATCTTCCGCGCCTTAATCAGGCAAGGGGGTTACTGCTTGTGTTTTAATATCACTATTTGTTAGCAGTAAGATGCTACTTGCTAAACTTTGGCTGCCGAGTTTCCCTCTTGAACAGAAACTTACCCATTGGCAGAGGGGCAAAGAAGAAGAAGATTACATGGGCCCACAGCCCCCACCATCTTGTTATAGGACCCTGGATTATGTCACTGACTTTTAGGTTCTGTTATAACTCTCTTGGTTGAAAATTACTTTAACTGTAATATTGGTGGCAGGCTGGCGGCAAGAAGCTGATGCATGAAAATTTTGCTATTTAACAGACGGGTTCTTAACCTGGAGATCAATCCTCTTATTGTACTGGGTTACAGAGGTACAATCAGCCTTTTGCTCTTGTTCCTAGTGTACATCTTTTTAAATTAGTTATTGGTGCTAGACGCCATTGTCTCTTTTAGACCATGCTTAAAAGTTGGAATGAGGGGAATTATACTAGAACTGGATTTTCTTCCATTGTATATATGTACAAAGTTTCCATTCAATTTATCGAACAGTCAAACTCGATTCCAGTCTGATGCATGCAAATATTGTTGAATTCTGGTGCCGTGATTACTGTCCTAATAACTAGAATTGATGCTGATTATCCCTTTTCAGATTCGGTGAAGTACAGTCAACTAGATCAAGTCTTCATTACTTCATACCCAGAGTTGTGCTCCAACAGGGATGACCGAGCTTGTTAAAAATACTCAAGTAGTGCTGAGGACTGCTAAAATGCTGACAGGTTATTAGTTAGAACGGTTAGAAGTATTATCTTGCACCTTTACATCTATAATTTTGTCTGGCTAGGTCATCCAGTATGAATATAAGATTTCATCAACTATGGAGGAAAACGTCATTGTCGTGAAGTCTTCATTCTGTGGTACTACTAGATGCATGTATGAGTTCCCTTCATGACATCAATAATTTTCAGACCCTCTTTCCCTTTGAATATGATTTGGATTGTATTGTACAGCAAGCAAAACACTATTGGTCAGAAATGAGAATTTAGTAAACCTCAAGTTTGGTATCTATATTTTTTTTGACAGAAGTTTGGTATCTATATTGAGTATTCATTGAAATTTATTTTGATTGAGAAGAGGTGAAAATCCTTGATAGGGTTAAAAATTCACCGATGATTTCACAATTGAGCTGATCCCTAGCAACATTGAACATATTGTAATTGCTAGAGCTTTGTGATGGCTTGGCAAGGCATTCAAATGCACCGCGTGTTAGCTTCCTGTTATCTCAAATAAGAAGTTGCTGCATTTGTTGGGTAAGGTAATGAGAATATTTGCACGTCCAATAGTTGGATTTTTGGGAATTTGTGGTGTAACAGCCAAATCAATTTAATATAATCTTCATCCTATTCTGAAAATGCATTAAAGTTACAGAATGTCAATTTACCTCAGTCTAGTACTCTAGTTTGTGACAGAGTACAAAGTACTTCAATCAACGACAATATGGATGTACTTAAATAATACTCTGTAGAAAGTACAAGTACTCAATTACTGTACAAAAGTAGTATATCGTACGGAGTACAAAGTAGTTTGTCTTATGGAGTAGTTAGTACGGAGTAGTACTCAATATATCTCTATTTTGAGATGTCCTTTAATACTACCTCCGTTACATATTATTTGCAACGATTAAACATTTTCTTTCTCTACTTTATGTCAAATAATTGCAAACAATGTGTAATTATTTTGATGGTAATACTCATAATACTTGTACAGTTATACTCGAGCAAATCCATTATATTTTGATGGTAAAAGTGTAAAACAAATGAATACATAGGTTCATGTATATCAAGGTGCAAGGTTTATCATGATATTGATATGTATTTAAAAAAATAAAAAAAAAATAGAAATAAAAATCACACATTAGAAAACATGAAGGATAATTTTTTTTTTTTGGGGAGATTACCCTATACGCGTCGTTTAGTTACGACCTTGAACATCCTCGGATAACAAACGACCAGTCTTTGGTCAGTGGTCAAGCATTCATTCCCACTGATTAGGCTTACGCTTTACAACTTTCCGCGTTCATTCTTTATTTGATGAGCAATATTCTTCCTTCATTAACAAGTTAATTCACTTAATTTTACCCTTTTTCCAAATATCATCTGGAATTAATTAATTAAACAGCAAATATAGTAATCAAATTGTTTGATGGAATTCTGAGAATATAGGGTTCATCAATGGATTTTGATTTGAATAAGAAGAGAATTCAGCTTCTTCTCTTCATTGTTGGAATCATCGTTCTCAGCATTGTAGGTATGATTTCTGTATTTAATTTTCCCTTTTATTTGTTTTGATTGTATAAAATTTGTTTAATATTGTTGATTATATGATTGAATTGACTGGGTTATTGTGGGCGATTTCATTATTGTACGTAGTATTATTTAATTAATTTGATCTGATTGGAGGGAGGGCTGTATCTTCTATAGATTAGGTTTAATTATTGTTAATTAATATATGATGATAAATTATTAGAAGAGCTTGAATCTGAGTTGCCTTGGAATGAAGTTGATTTAAGGCTCGTATTATGGTTCTATGATGATTAAAAGGAAATTAGGAAGAGATCATACAAATGATTGTGAGTGGTTGTTAAACAAATTAGGGGTGTAAGCGAGTCGAGTCGAGTCGTGTTTACGGCTTTAAGCTTGAGATTGCGTTGGAGCTCAAAAACTTGTAGGAACTTAGCGTTAGTTTTGATTTAGTATATTTGAGCTCGGTGTCTGTATCAAATAGAGTTTAGCCCTGTTGCAAGTTTTGTTCTTAATACACCAAAAAAAGCTTGTTTGATTATACTAGCTCGTTTAGTCGGGATACATTTAGATGCAAGTATATATGTCTTAATGAAAATAATTAGAACCACAGCTTAAAATAGAAAAGTTTGAATCAAAATTCTTATATTTATGAATTCCAAAATCAAATTCCAAGATCTGAATAACTTAGTTATCTTTTTAATTAAGCATATTTTGCTTTATATCAAACCTATTCATGGACTTAAACTATGAGACTCTTATGAATGTAAATGACTTAATTGTGATCATAAATGGAGGAACACTCATATGCTCATAAGGGTTCTTGTATGTGCATGTTACATGATAGATGTATAGAAGAAGAGAGAGGGTTGCAAAGAAAGAGGAAGACATGGAAGGTAGTAAAAAAGTGGAAAGGGGATGGGGGATCTGAAGAGATGGAGATGAAGGGATATTAGGATCTTGAATTTCCTGTGACCCTGGCTTTAATATAAGCGGGAAAAGGAGAATGAAGGGGGATATATGCATTGCTATGAGCTGTTAATTAATCAAGGCATTCCACTATCATGCGAATTGTATTTATTCTGTGAGTTGACAGTCTAGGAAGTTTCTGATCCGGACACCTTTATTCCTTGTTAGTCAAGATTATCCGAGAAGCTGTTTCATGTAGTCAATTAATGTGATCCTAGTAATAGCAGAGTAAGAACTAACACAATGAGCAAGGATAAGAGCTTTATTGAGATAATGAGCAAGAAGCAGTGCAGCTCACTTTCTAATTCGCTTTTGCGATTTTGCTTCATTATTTTGGACATAAATAAGAATCTAAAATAAGTTTCTGTTTCCAGTTTGGGACTTCTTGGGAAGGTATGAGAGGTAGGGTCCTGTAAGGTTCTCAAGAATGTATCTTTGAGCTGAGTGTTGAAAACGATAATCATGCTTTTTGGCTGGTTAAAATTGTAGCATTTCTTTCCAGCATCTCTTCTGGGATCAAAGATTCGCCAACTTACCATATTTTCTGACTCCATTGATTGATTATTGATAAAGAGTATGGTGGTGAATAGTATTCACTGAATACTGAAGAGGCGGGAAATGCTGATGGTGGGAAACACGATATGTAGGAATTAGAGAGTAGATTCAGTTAAATCTCAGAATAAATGATTAGCTGCTCAAAATTAAGTAACTGATATGTTAACAAAAACTTAAGAAGCTGTTAGAGCAGAAATCTATGGAAAATTATAGCTGTCTTTGAAATTCAAATTGACATTAAGTGTTAAGATTAATTTGCTCCATGATCCTCTTACCTATGTTCCTCATGACGTCATACTCTCACAGGGTCATAGGACTTCTTACTCCATAGGCATTTGCTTTCCGCCATATTTTTTGTAAGGTGTGTTGCTTGGCTGTTTTTATTCTGCTATTCCTGAAATTGAAGTTATGATGGCCGGGATGCATGTATGAGTGCTACCCCATTATTATAGTTGGCATTTTCTCTGCACAATGCTAGTATCCCCGAGGCACAACTTCGTCATATATTTAGTTTTACATAGATCATCTTATTTTTTTTTTTCAAATTCATTTATGTCTGTCAAGAAAATTTGAATTAAGTATTGTACTTTGCAGCTGAAAAAAGCAGGAAGCTTGTGGGGGAAGAAGCAGCATCCAAGAGTGGGCAATTTACTTTACTCAACTGTTTCGATTTGGGATCAGGTTCGTTAGCATGCTCAGTTAAAGAGGGTGTGAAACTATACGTCAACAGTTTTCAATCTGCTCATGTTGAGTTAGCCAGAAGCCGAGCAATTGAGAGTACACTGAGCGATGCAATGTCACAGGGATTGCAAGCCAAAGATGCTGCTAATCAAGCCGCCAAAGAAGGAAAAAAGGCTGCAAAATTAGCGTCCCGACAGGCTAGGCGGATTACAGGACCAATCATATCTAGTGGGTGGGACTTCTTTGAAGCCATTTACTTTGGAGGTACAATGACTGAAGGCTTTCTCAGAGGAAGCGGGACCTTGATTGGGACCTACTCTGTCGGATTCCTCGGGGAACAGAGGCTTGGGAGGTTTGGCTACCTCCTTGGAAGCCAAGTGGGAAGTTGGGTTGGAGGAAGAATAGGTTTAATGGTCTACGATGTGGTGAATGGTGTCAACTACTTGCTTCAGTTTAGTCAAAGTGAGGTAAGTGAATATGAACCTCAAGAAGTATATGAATCTCAAAATGTTTATGAATCTCAAGAAGTTTATGAATCTCAAGAAATTTATGAATCTCAAAAAGTTTATGAATCTGAAGAATTGTAGGATTCGCATAATTAACTTTCTGGCTTTTAGCTTATCAAGATTATCTTTAGCAGAGATGCATAGCTGGAACTTGAAGCCATTGTAATACGATTCTTTTGCTTGCATTTTATGTCAATGATAGATAGATATATGAATATCGAATACAAGATATTGCTTACTGGAAAAATATATATTGTAAATTCATCAAGTATTAATACTATGCTGTGATCAGTAGTTACTGAAACAACTTGGATGTGCAACTCTGAAATTTACTCTATACAGCCATAAAAAAAACTAAAAACCCAAAGCCAGAGACCTGGAATTGTGGTGATATGAACATTATGAAGTTTATGGAAAATTTGCAGTTAGAGTTTTTAAGTGAAGTTTGATCCTTTTCTATACACTAGTGTCAACATGCAAGATTTAAAAATTACCCCCTTTTTTTAGAACCAGAAACTGCAAAAAAAAAAAAAAAAAAAAAAAACAAAAAAAACTGAAATATCATGTACAAGTGCTTAGCTGTACAGTAAACAGTTTATTACAGTATTACTCATGTGTTTATGTATACTGGAAATAACTGATTTAATAAACTCATTTAATTATTAAACATATGAAGACACCAATCAATTGATATAAGAATAGTGATGATTGTCATTTCTCAATGATTTTGGTGTCTGCTGTTACTCATTGTACAATATTTTGTTTCCAAATTGTAAGTTGACAATCTAATGAAAATTCTTGGATCAGCCGGTCTGACGATAAACTTTTATGGAGTTTTGGTATTACTCATTAGTAAAATTAGGGATGGCAATGGGTCGGATTCGGAGCGGATTATGCTAAATCCGACTCCGACCCGACAGGAAGTCGGAGGTTAAATCCGACATCGACTCCGACTCCGACTTCAATATCCGATCTCCGCCACCGACTCCGAGTTTTTTTTTTTCATTATTCAATATACATTGAGATGTTGGGCTATTTAGGCATACGACCCACACCCTATGCCACCATGACCCATACAAAAATACACTATCTATTGGAGTCGGAGTCGGATAATCCGTTAAAGTCGGACATTTGTTGGAGTCGGATTTTTTTCTCGGATTTTTTGTAGGATCCGACTCCGACCCTCCTCTTCGAACTCGGATTACTTTTTTCTCGGACTCGGAGCGGATATTTTACCTCGGATCGGGGCAGAGTAGGGTCGGATCCGGACTAGATTGTCATCCCTAAGTAAAATTTTTTCAGTGCCTCAAAACATGAATACATCCTATAATATACGAGTACTTGTGCTTCATGTATAGTACCAAGCTTAGGCTCTATTCATTCAAATTTTTTTTTTCTATATTCTAAAATTCGATAACAAAACAAAGGTAGTGTAAATCAATGGGGCAAATTCGAGTAGTCGCACCAGAAAGTGACTAATCTGTCCAGTTGCATTTTGCCCTTGCTAAATTTGGGAGGCCAGATATGTTTCACCTAATCATGTACAATTGTACAGTAACTCCATTTTCAACAGAGATTTTTTTGGATCAGGAAAAAATAACTTGCTTGATTCTTATTCTTATGTGGTGTATTATTGCTCAATAGTTATATAACTATTCAATTTAGGCTATACGTGGATATAATGTAGATATTTATGGAGAGTAAAATATGCTAACAAGGGCATAATAGTCGTATTGAGTTATTTTTTCAATAAAAAAGGTGCTGAAGTAATAATAAAAGTTTCTAAATAAAAACATGTAATAATAATTTTTTTTTTTAGACAAAACATGTAATAATAATATATCAGAAATGTATTACAAACTTTTACTATGTGTAGACGTATAAGTATTTTTATTTTTATTTTTAAAAAAAAGACTACGTACTAAATAAATATTTTAAAACGGGGGTAAGAAAGCAATACTTTATAACTTACTTCCTAATTCTATTTGTTTGTGTTATTAATACAATTTTCAATTTTTACTTACAAAAACCAATGACATGATTCAGGGCTTGTTCTCATAGATTGAACTCAACTGAGCTGAACTGAATTGAAATGAATATTTTATAAGAGAAAGAAATTAGGAGTTGAACTGAACTGAACTGAAAATAAACGTATGAGAACAGACCCTGAAGATTGTTGCATATACCCATGAGTATTTGTTCTTATTTTGATGATTGTTTTTCATTTTATCATCAAATATTCAAATATAGAGTAAAATTAACTTTAGGTTAGTTGGATGTAACGGGCTGTATATAACAAATTGAATCAGCAATAGGACTCATAGATATTGTGAGATTTGTGACAAATAATAGATACTTATATTTCTTCCATTGGTGACAAATTAACAATAGGTTTAGACGATTTTTTAATGTATTAAAAACTAAAAAGCCCTTCAAATTGATGTCTAGGGCGTGCATGATACCAGCCGTACATGTCATAGTTGCATGAGTGGCAAGTCTGGCAACTAATGACCACCCAATTTTCTTCCAAAAGCACACATCATTTTTATGTTTAGTCCATGATTGAACCCAAACATAAAAGTATGCAACTCATCTTGTTTATTAATATTATATTACGGAGTACTACTTTTGTTAATAAAATAATAAAATGTGCGTTGTAACTATTATTGTCTTAATAAGATCATTTAGCGTAAAAGGTTGATAGGATGCTATAAAAGCTTGTGCCCATTGAAAATTTATTGATCATTTTCCATCGGAAAGGAAGATCTAGAGTTACTTTTAAGGTTGTATGAATGTATTAGTATATGCTTAATGTACGTTAGATGAAAGATCCAATTAAATCTGATTGACCTTTCAAGGATATTAAAAACAACCAACTACGGACTATGGTGGAACAAATTTCATGAATTGGAAGTTGGGGTGGAGGTATGATAAGGGCCGGTGAATATCCTCACTCCTTAATCCTTATTAGCATAATAGCATTAGACCCTTTTTTTTTTTAAAAAAAAAAAAAAAAAAAAATTAATTATTATTTTTGGCTCGGTAGTTAATAAGTACGTACTCTTATTTTTTACTACACTAAAAATGATACTTTTCGTGAAGGTTGTATTAGTATATTCCAAATACAAATATATGAGAGTGAACCATTAAGGATATTCTCCAAGTTAAACTTTTAATTATTTATATATAATATTATTATTATTATTTTTATCATACAACTCATTTATATATACGGGCGAATATGAATATTGTCATATCTTTATTTCCTTTTTGTTGGCTGAAGAAAGAAAGATAAGAAAAAGTCTTAAAAGATTATTCTCTTGCCAAGAGTGTAATATATTAATAACATAGAGTGATGGAGATTTTGTTGGACAGGAAAAATATATACGTGACTCCAAAATTATATGAAGAATAGAGAAGTTAGTTGGAGAGATTCTTATGTGCACTTGAGGTAGCTAAGGAGGTAGTTGCACTTAAAATTACTTTTTACTCGATTAACAGCGTTCGCTTCTATTTAAAGACTTTGAAATAACTTGAGCAAAAATTATAATATGATCAAGTAGAAAATATCAATGGATATATATTCCTAATTTTACATGCACCCAGTGCATATAATTAAGAATCTATAGATTAAAGAAGTTTAGGCCAAGTTAACAACATGAACACTACACGATTAGTATTTCTCATCCGAATATTAATTAACATGAGGATATTTTCTGTTTTCGTCCCTTTCTAATGTGAAGAAAAAAGTGGGTATTAGAATAAACGCTACCTACTCATATTAGGATCAAGAATAAGATGAACTTTATCTTAAGACGAGTGGAAGACACACTCCCCAGATTCTGAAAACAACTTGTAGTATATATTTATGGTCGTAGATGTTTCATAAGTTTTTGTTACGAATAAAAGGGACGTGATAAAGCAACTCGCGTAAAGATTATTATCACCTATAAGTTGTGGTTGAATTAGTTGGAAAGGGATTGAAGAATTTAAGTTGAAAAACGAACAAGTTTCGGGTTTGAGCCCTTCTATGATGTAAGTATGTAACAACGTTTGTTGGAAGAGCCATTTGCTAGCCTCGTGACTAATTGTATCACCCTCAATATCGAGCTGAGCTAGATCACGTCTCTCATTCCAAGCTTTCCTCCAATTACGATCCCAACTAGTTTATTAATTAGTCCGAACTCATCATGGTAATTTGTCTGACTTTAGTAAATGCGCATTACTTATGATCTTGTTTTTTTTTTTTAAAAAAAAACCCTTAATTCAGTACCAGTGATTTTGTGCAAGTTAAAATTTGGAGGGTCCAATGACCTTGTGAACCCAATTTGAAAAATTTAATATAAGGTTTAATAAGATTTCATCAAACTAGAGAAAAAAAAATACAAAGTTTACAAATGTGTGATTATTGAGTATGTATCATTGACCCAAATCACATAAACACTATATGGAGCTAACGTTTATATGATTGTGGCTTAGGCTGGCCTTAAAGACATTATAATTTTTTTTTTTTTTTTTTTTTTGATAGAGCTTTTTATCGATTTGCTAAGTCAAAGTACGATTTCAAGATGATCGAAAAGACAAAATTCGAGATACAAGAGTGGACGTAACAAAGAAAAAGGAAAAGGGATAAAAAGAAACGAAGCAAAATGGATGGACGAACAAAAAGCCATAGTCAAACTTCATTATCATTATTATATCAAATATCAATATAGAATATATTCATTATTATTAAACATCTTCATTTGTAAGAAAAAGGAAATAATTCTCACTATCTTCGTCTTCAAAGTTGAAAAGGTGTCAAGTGGATCACTAGCACTTGCGACCTAGGTATTCATGCACTCTCTTATATTACAAGCGTTTTTTTTTTTTTTTTTTTTTTTGACAATAGAATATTACAAGCGTCATCAATTAATTAATTTGATAAGTTAAAACCATAAATTAGATTATTTTGATAAAATAACAAATAATTTGTAATTGCATGCATGTTCAATTTTTATAGACTATTAGCCTATACCGCGATTTCATTTATTTGCCTGGTTGATTGAGGGCCTGTTCACATTTAATAAACTGAGCTGAACTGAACTGAACTGAACTAAGTTGAAATGAATATTTTATGAGAGAGGGAAATTAAGAGCTGAACTGAACTGAACTGATTAGAGCTGAACTGAACTGAACTAATTGGAGCTGAGATGAACTGAACTGAAATGAAATTAAGTAAATGTGAACAGACCCTGAGTTAAGGGATGATATTAAGCTTGAAAATCTATGTTGTCAATTATATATAAAATAAATAAAAAAAAAACTCCTAAA